TTTTTTTTTTTTGTAACTCACCCTACGCGAATAAATAACCAGGGTATAATATGTGCTTGGCTAACGACAGAGAGAATTTGGTGTAAATTATGAAATTACGTGAATGCGAAGCCTTTCAAGAACGACCTTTATTCTGAATGGCCACGAGGGCTTGAAATTAGACTGCATTTGGATTAAGAGATACTACACGTATGGCCGTTTATGCTTTCAATTATAAAATCCATCCCGGTAAATTTAGTGATACTTAAACTCTTTAACTTTGAGCGTATAGGGCAGAGGAGAAGAAACGAGGAAAACGCTGGTCGTATTCATGAAAGTTTTCTATCACTTTACAGGGTTCCTATGGTATCGTTAAGTTGGCCTATAACGAGGAGGACGAGACTCATTACGCCATGAAGATCCTGAGTAAAAAGAAGCTGATGAAGAAGGCTGGGATATTTGGTAGAATGGCGCCTCGGCAGAGTAAGGGCGCTTCCAGTAATCCTCTGGCTAAAGTGTACAGAGAGATTGCACTTCTGAAGAAACTTGATCATCCGAACGTGGTTAAACTGTTGGAGGTCCTGGACGATCCCGATGAGGATAATCTTTATCTTGTCTTTGAGTTGGTACAACGTGGCGAGGTATTGCAGCTTCCCACGGATAAACCGTTGGAGGAGGAAACTGCCAGGATTCATTTTCGCGATATCGTCATGGGGGTTGAGTATTGTAAGTTTGAAAGAAATATTTATTGATCTTTTTGATTATTATATCGTAATAATTTTTCTCTTCATTGCAGTACATTATCAGAGGATCGTGCACAGGGATATAAAGCCTAGTAATCTACTGGTTGATAGCGAAGGTCGTGTTAAAGTCGCCGATTTGGGTGTTAGCGCTGAACTTCGTGCAGCTGGGGAATTGCTTTCCGGTCCGGCTGGTACGCCAGCTTTCGCGGCGCCCGAGACAACTACGCCTGGTGCCGAATATTCAGGAACGGTACGCTCCTGGTTATTTATAATGGAATTTCAATGATGGGTTCAGCTGTGACTGCTCCATGTTGCGAAACTTTGTATCCTCATAAGTGTGATTAGCGTTTTTCTGTACTTGCACAGCCGTCGGAATTACAATTTGGTCGTAATAAGGTCTCGGCAAACAGGCCACGAGCTAGCTAATTGGCATCCCTGGTTAATTCTTTTACACCTACGAATTCAATTAGTAATTTCGAGGGATCCCTGTAAAACTTGAGTCCTTGCTCGACCGTGCAATACAGAAAAATAGGAATTACTTCATTACTCAAAGTTCGTTGCTATCGAGTTTCAGTATTGAAACTGAAGTCATTAAAACTTTCAACAATGCAATTTTCTATATGCTAGCTATGCGACGTCTGGTCGATGGGTGTGACGTTGTATTCACTGGTAACCGGAAGAGTACCTTGGAACGGTGACGGAAGTATAATAGGTGTCCAAGCAGCCGTACGTTCCGAGTCTTTGAAATTCCCTGAAAAACCAAAGTTGAACGAAGACCTGCACGACCTGATCTCGCGGATGCTCGCCAAGGATCCATCGGAGAGGATTACACTGCCGGAAATCAAGGAACACCCTTGGGTCACTTGTAACGGCCGTGAACCATTACCAAGCGAGGCTGACAACTGTCGACTTCCGGTCACGGTCACTGACGAGGAAGTAGCCAGAGTTGTCACCAGGGTGCCGAAACTCGACACTCTCATACTGATCAAAACTATGCTCAAGCAACATAGCTTCCAGGTAGGCATGATTTTTGATAACCTTTTGCAAAAAAGTAACAGTCATTAACTTTCTGTTGATTGAGAATAAATAATTTTCTAAATTTACGAATAATTCAAATTACCGGCATTTACAAAACTATGAATCATCTTTGTTTCTAGATTTAGTCCTGTAACTTTTATATCAATTTCGCGCGCACAATAGGACTTATGGGTTTCCTTACATATCTTTCGATTGACAGTTTATATATATATATCTGTTGTATGATTTTGACATATGTTTTCATGTATCTGTTACAATGTTATGCTTAATTTACATTAGTCATGCGCGTAGGCAGGTTACATTGTTTTATGGCAGATGGATTGGATATGAGTATACATGTATATATGACGTAGCCAGTTACGATATAGCGAAGACGTTATAGGTACGTCAAGTCCTGATGGAAATACAGCGAAACGTGAATAGCTCGTTCGGTTTCAAGAATAGCTTCAGCCATTTCAATAGCCACAGTCATTCGATATCGCGACGCGATTGACTTATTCTACAGAAATTCAAGCGCAACCTAAAAACACTATTATACTATACCACTGTTTAACATAGGTATATCAATACAGGTATAAATAGTTGGACCGCGACACAGTTTCATTTTGAGGGGCCATCTCGTTACGAACCTAAACGTAAATAAGTCCCCTCAAAGCGGAACTGACGTCTCGGCCCGACTACACTTAAAATCAATTACAGTATATGGGTGGCATTCGATTCCTTTTCTTTATTCATATCATACCTAATTATTTAAGGAAAGGAGAAATTCGTGTCTCTTGATACCAAATTTTTTATGAATCTAAATCGAATCCCTTTTCTTTTACTTTTTTTTAACTTTGAATCATAATATTCGCAAGTTGCTTCTGCACTACTTTCATATATATTGAGGAACATTTATTTGTAGCAATATCAGCTGAAATATCAACTTCCAAAGACGTTACTGGTCCGGAGGAAAAAAAATGTGTAAATATATAAAACTTAATGGGTATTGCTTTATATTATTAATCCATCGAGAATTTTATGCTTTACGTTCCTATATTTGTTTGCATCTCGTCGTGCGCACAAATGAATCTTCAATTCTGAGCAAAACAAACAAGTAAAAACGATGACGGTCGTTGGCTCAATGTATATGTATACATTAATCTATAGCAGATTCGCCATAACTTATCATGCACAGCCACAACCTACGTAGTTGTTCATCAATATTTTTTGGACGACAACATAATCGTCCTTATTACACAATTTCTACGAGATTCACGGTACGCCAAGCCTATAACGGTTAGGTTTCCAAAATGCTATGGAGTGGAATAACGTGTTATCCAAGTTTACGAGTTTAACCTGTTTTACGAGTTTCTGACCATCCCTCTTGCAGTCCACGCGGAAACCTCACCACGTGTCCGTCTCCTCTTTAGTATATATACCAGGTCTAGAAGTATGAAACCGGAATTCCCCTATAGATGGTGCTTGCCATCAGTTTAGGGTAGAGTCCCTCTAGTAAGAGTCCGGCCAACACCCGGAAGGGACGCCATATTAAGGGCTTGTTTGGCGCCACCATGACATTGCGCGAGACTCGGTCGAGTCTCGCGCCAAGTGCAGGCAACCCGCTGTACAGGGCTTAACACTACCCACCCTACACAATGCGAATCTCTCCCATATACGTATTCACACACACCATTCTATTCTGGAAAGAGCCATTAATATGGCGGAGCCAATCACGAACAAGCCCCACCGTTGGCCGGACTCTTACTAAAGGGACTCTAGTTTAGGGACCGTATGACCGCTTCTGCAGCGCCATCTTCTCCCTCTAGCAGCTGAGAAAGATTTTCAGTAGACAACAACCCAAGTTCGATATACCCAGTGTATTTACTACAAGCATCAACATGTCGAGTTTTGTGCCTATGAAGTACGGTTTGCGGACAGCACTGGTTTTTTGTTATCACTTGAAGAAAACTGCTGCAAAACATAATGTTGCGAGTGGTTTAAAAAATTCAAAAGTGATAATTTTGATGTGAGAAACGAAGATCGTGGAAAACCACCGAAAAAGTTCGAAGACAACGAATTGCAAGCCTTACTGGATGAGGACGATACTCAAACTCAACAAGAACTCGCGGATCAACTGAATGTGTCGCAGAAAGCCGTCTCCATTCGTTTGAAAGCATTGGGAAAGATTCAGATATACACACCATTAACATCAGTGTCTGACAAAAAGACAAAAAAAAGAAGGATGAAGGGTAGTAGGAAAAAATGTCCCTAATGAATTGCACAACAAGGTGATCAGTGATGAAATAGTATTTTTGTATTTATATATTTTTCTTGCTGTTAAATTCTCATATCTGATAAAGTATCATCATTTAAGATTGTAAATTTGTATGCCTAATAAAAATTTGACCTGAAATCAATTGGAGTGTCCTGGTTGGTTCTTGAAGCTTCATGGCTCATTTCTGTTTCTCGACAATATGGAAATACGTATCTGCCATGGGCGCCCGACACCGGCCTTATTATTTGATGAGTAGGCGGTCAATATCTGCTCGGGTTCAAGGGGGGTCGCGTTATTCTATGCGACGTTAAAGCTTTTACCCGCGTTATCACGTACCGAGTATATGCAATCAAGGTAATGCAACGGTTAGAATTTACGACCATGCATCATTCCTACACGCGACATTTAATTATAAAATTAAAGATACGAAGTGAGATGATCGTTTGACTTTGTCGTCTTTGATTTTCAGAATCCATTCCTACCAAGGAGAACGACCAAGTCCACGTGCAGCGACGCGACCAGCGAGATTTCCTCGACTAGAACGAGCGAATCCTCGGAGACACCGGAAACGGCCGACAGTCGTACGATTCGATTTTATAAAAGCGGCAGAAGCAACTCAGCACCAGATTCCTATGAGTGGCAAGGAAACGATAGGTATATAAATTGAATCGAGAGGGCAGGAAGCATAACTGAAAAATTCGTTAAACGAATTGGCAGTCAGTTTTATTTGATTGATTCAGGCTGGAAAATTAAAGTGAAAGAAATTGATTCTACGTGATATACATTATTCGCGACAGCCGACGTAGGTGTGACGTGACATTTTAAATGAATTTCGCTCGTTTGTTTTCAGACAAGTGTCCGTCGAGAGTCCTCTGCCGCCTGTGACGGAAGTCGAGGTCGAGCGACGGTGATATTTCCAATAGACCGAGAGATTCGACTGTGAGATGCTGCTCTCTCCTAATGGACTTAAAAAAACGGATATTTGAATCGAGATTATCGATACCGTCTGCGAATCCCTTACTCGTCCGCAGTGTGCGCGTAAACGAGTCTACAAATACGTATACATAGTACCGTTGCGACATTAAGAAGCGCCATCTATAAGCATCCGAACGAACCAACGAAAAAAATGTAATCTTCGAGAATCTCTAGGAAAACCTTTATCCTTCTACACTTTTTTCCTACATTCAATTAGTTTTATTTCTTTTTTTTTTCTGTCGATAGACTTTTTTATTTTTACGACCATGTTCAGCCAGGCCGAGGCTGACACCTGGTGGGCATCCCTAGCGATCCGTCCATTTATTTTTTTTTCTTCGTCTATATCTCTCGTGATAGTTATCCATAATGAAACGGGAAGAACATGAGCTCTGTGGATTATCGTCAGTTTCGTTCTTTTCATTTTTGTTCTCTCTCGCCTCTCATATTTCTTTTCTTTTCTTCTTTTTGAGTCCACGAGATCAACTTGTTACATGGATCGTATTAAGGAAGAGAAACAAAAGAAATAAGTACAGCAAGGATGTCTGGACACGTTGATGTATCTTGTTATTTGATGTGCGACAATTGGAAGGGCCATTCGAAATATCTGCAGTGGTAGGATCTACTGTCATGAATACTATATGTATACATTCGATGAAGATCATTGATGGAAGACTGTCATATTCTTTCACTATTCGTCATTGGACTTTGTCAGCCTTCTTTTTTCGTTAATTACTAATTTTAATATTCACTGCGACCTGTGGATATTTTATAGAAAGGATATTTTATAGAAAAGCGCTCTGTGGTTAGTTAACATTGTTCATGTTGTTAATATTGTTTATCACGCGGCGAAGACCCTTCGTTATCCTTGACCTGGAATGTCGGCGTTTATGAAGGGATGATAAAAATGCCCTTCGTAGAGTCGTGCCAGAACTTCATAACGGATTAAAGTAATGAAGCAATTACGCGTGCGGTCGCCCTAACGTTAATTTTTTCCATCACGGCTCACTGGCAACTTTGTTGAACTTTCAAAGTGGGAATAAGCGCACTAAAAGGCGAGGCCAACCTATTAATAAGATTACGGAGAGACGGATAAAGAGAGAGAGAGAGAGAGAGAGAGAGAGAGAGAATCTTACACGACATTCATTGTTCATTGGCTATAGACGTATATTTGCAATACGTATGTGCAAAAGTGTCATGCGTTTTTCCATTTTTTTTCCAATGCATAATTTAAGTACACAGAATAATTACTGCGCACAGTTTGTAAGCGTGTAAAGAAGTTCTCTCTTTTTTTTCCCTTGTGTTGATTTGCATCGTTAATCACGGGTAGAAAGAGAAGGGCGAATGTCGCATATTAATTTTGTCACCAAATTTGCATTTTAATTGTGATATTTGGTTGTGCGTTGACGTATCGTTTCGTGGCCTTTGTAAGGCGACAGTACATTAAACGAACTCGTTACTTTGGCAAGACTCAATTTACGTTACTAAATTATTTAGTTTATTGCAAAACGAAAATTCAATATATTTCTTCCTTTTATCTCTTCGTTGTCTTTGTGCGATATTCGTGTAAATTAATGTGTAATTATGCTTTGCGTTATTATCCGCTCAATAGTAATACCACATTGGTCGATCTGCCTATACTGAACTCCTATAAGCGCTGACTACTAAAATGCGTATCCATTTTTACTGATTCTACCCTTTTTACTTCAATCAAGATCATGTTTCGAAAAATGTGAGAAACTGTCAGGAGGGAGAGAGAGAGAGAATTTTTTGTGCGATCCTCCATCAAGCGATACTCGAATAGATAAAGATATATTACAAGCGTATAATTATTTATTTAAAACTCGTACAAAGTGGCCGATCAGTGCCAAAAGTGTGTTAAAAAAGTAATTCCTAGACACGACGACCAATTAATAATTTTTAAACGTTACTCTCTGTCTCTCTCGTTCCAATTACTGTTAGATATATAATATAAGACGTACAATTAATTTGTTTTATTCGTAAAGGGAGAAATATTTCCGCTAGACAACGACACCGTTTTACATATAACTATATATATCGTTATTGACATGGATAATAATCCTTTTAATATCTCAGCATAGATCTGACACCCTGTAATAGTGAGACTTCTCTTTGTATAGTTTTTTTTGCTTTAAACTTACTTCTGTACCGTCGCCCTTATTCACATAAACGACCTGTACCATAACACGGCACAAGATACACGAACGAAGGGACAAAGACAAAGGAAAGCGCAATTGCGTATTATTGTGACTTTTGTGAGATCTTAATTAAGACTAGGGGGACCATAAATTCTATGATCTTAGGGAATTAGCTTTTAGTGCTTAGAGGAAGATTTCAAGTCATATCAGAAAATTGACTTAATGATTTGTGCTCTTAAATCTAAGCGAGAGACACGTCTGAGAAGGTTGAACCAAATAAACGATAAAGAATGATAATGATGAGGATGAGGCTGGCCTCTGGCAAGAGGTTCCTGGGAACACTCTTGCTTATTGAATAAAAGTCTGTCTTAGCGATTCTGGCTTTTATAGTCAAGCTCTTTCAGACGTCATCGCCACGCTACGGGTATACAATAAATATATAACAAGAACGAAGAAGAGCTACGTGAAATTGATATTACCTATTAAAATATAGTAGATGTCCGTCATCACATGTTATATTCTTATAAATGCACAAAATATTTTATACTTCGTATTTAAGGCTATTTTGTTCAACTATTTTATATCTGCAGATGTACACCGAGCGGTGACGTGTCAGATGCGAGGAAACTTTTACAGACATTTTTCTCTTGCGGTTTAAATTAATTTCTCCGAATCTTGGTTCGTACCAAATATTCTAATACGAAGAACGCAGTACGAAAATGAAGCGGATGTAATGATAATAAGCGGCCGTTATGAGGATTTGATTGGTCGATTTCTTCTCAGACATTATTCTTGAACACAAGATTTCGGTGAATCTTAATTCCAGATGGCCTGACTATCTTGTCTTCAATGGAAGGTGTCTGAAACCAGTAACAAAAGAGAAAAATCGATTTTAAAAGGTTCCTCGCTTTTGACGTAATAATTCCGTGTACCTGTGCAAGCATAGATCTAGCTGAACAGCAGTTTGATGCACACTACGTTTCTAATCTTATTGTGAAAGAAGTTATATGTAAAGTTTATCTATATTATTATTATTATCGACATCCTTATATGCAAAACTTGTCTACATGCACCAAAGCCGCCACGAGTATACAGGATAATAAGATGGAAAATGTGAAGATGTCTTCTTCTGAGACAAAAATGTACAATAGGAAAACTGTCCAGCAAACACACTGATGCGACTCAGTGTCGAAACGTTATTGGCCCATTGACAGGTGAAATGGACCAATGAGTGCCCATCACTGGTCTGCTTTCATGTGTTTGTTGGTTGGTACGCGGCTGAGATAAAAATTTTTCTTATTGTAATATTGTACTGAATAATAATACAATTCTATATACATCGAAACAAATACTCTTTTTTATCATTACTTTATTGTTCGTCGCTTGTTTTTATTGACTTAAATTCTTATATATCTTTTCCATTTCCTTCGTCTCTATCTTCACTTAATCGAAGTCAGTGATATTCAAATGTTTGAGAATCGAATGAATTCTTTTGAAAATTAATCGTTTCTATTAATCGCTCTACCGGTTTTATTATACGGTTCAAGCGGATCGCTATTTCGCCACCTGGCTTGCGTATATGGAAACCAAGAATAGCTTTCGAGTAGTCATTAAGAGTCATTACTCAGTCAATACCATGATGACGGCATGCTATTAAAAACATTTCATAAATCGATTCACCGAAAGTCAATCGCATGTTCGCTACCGATTGCGTAAGTTATTTCTAAAATTGAAAGAGTGCCATGTTTCCACTTTTATCGCCAGTATTTTTGTATGGCTATATAAATACGTTCGATGCCATATTTGTGAACGCGGGCTGAGTGCTGGTTTGCTAGATTTCAGGGGCAGTTTGCGGTGGTATTCATTTCATGATGTAATACGAAGATCTTCTCTTGTCTGGTTAACTTTATGAATTGGTGCCATTCCAAGTATATGGTTCTACTTTTTCATATACTATACACCTGAATTTTTCATATAAAAACAGAATATATAATCGAATTGTGATATACAGTGGTAACATATGTCATCTTTTACTTTTCAATGCATAGGGAGCATAGGGAGCACAATTTCATGGCGCATCGAAAAGACAATCAAACCTTAATCCCTAAACACAGTCCACGGTTGGATCTCAGAGTGGTCGTACCTTCATTGTGGAGAGGTAGGACCTTATGGAAATGGGCAGGGAGGACCCATCTCGCTTTATTTCTTTAATTTTACGTCCTGCTTTGTTTCCCTACTATTTTTCTATTTCTCATCCTGTCGGCAGCAATTGACACTACTACTAAGTACCCAAGAATCGGTCCAATTTCATGGACTTTAGTCTGTCATCGGGAAGTTAGCGTCAAAAGATAAAAATGTATGTTTTAATGGCTACAAGATTGCTCCTTAAATACTCCTTATGTTTTCCTAATTGTTCCGCTGCTATGATAAAATGATTAAAAAATATTTATTAAAACAGAAAACTATTTTTTTTTTATTGTTATTCCAAATAATGAAGCTGATTTTCATTTGATTTTCTAAATTAATTAATTCCTCCACTCTGTTCCGCAATTTGTTTTTTATGTTATTAATGCTTCTTTAAATAACAAGTAAAATTTGATTTCCTCTTGGCCCAATTGTAAAAGTAAATAACATGTATGTTTATAACATGTTTAAAAACAATTTCTCTGTTTATTGAATGCTAGATACTTATTCGGGTGCAAGAAGATGCAAGCATTCGTACAGAAGCCCCGTAGTGACAATTTTTTTTTACTGTGCACATCTGAACTTTTTCATTTTGAAAAACTCAGCTCCATATAGTTAGCCCACGATCTTGTATACAGGTCTGGACACTTAGGCGAAAAACGCGTGACGATAAGGTGGCCACTGCCACAAGAGGCGTTAGTGTTGAAAGAGCCTATCACGTGCTACCACTACGCGTGTGCAGTTATCTCCTTCTTTAATACGTAACCTGCAGCTTTGCTCGTTAAAATGCTGGATATAATCACTAACTACACGCGCCAATGCCAATGTGACGCATTTGCCCCATTGAATAGTGTCGGATGTCACACCGATACACTAACCCACTCACAAATTTGCCCTACAAAAGATGGCGGACGGCCCCCCCTCCATTTCAAAAAATTTGCCACACTTCTCTCAACGGCAGGATACTTGAAGCTAGCGGTCTAGTAGTATATAGAATTCTGTGGTGTAGATGTTTGTCGACATATGTTGACACAAGTCGTGTAATTGTCTTCACGGTTCACCTTTGAACGTACCTGTCATAGGTGTGTTCGAAAATGAACCATGTTGTTTACTTTTACAAATGGGCCAAGAGGAAATCAAATTTTTAATAACATAAAAAACAAATTACGGAGCAAAATGGAGCAATTAACTAATTTAGAAAATCATATGAAAATCTGCTTCGTTATTTGAAATAGCAATAAAAACAAATATTTTTCTGTTATAATAAATATTTTTTAATCATTTTTTCATAGCAGCAGATCGCTAAGAAAAAAATAAGAAGTATTTAAGAAATCATTTTTTAGGCATCAAAAATATAAATTTTTATCTTTTGACGCTAACTTCCCGATTTTTAAATTTTATTTCCAGTTTCTGGTGAATTGTGGCGCCATCCGTTGGGAAAACTACACTTGCATGCGAGCTTCTTATAAGGTCGCCTCCAGTCTCTACTGTTATACTCCTTGAATGTTACATATGTTTTTGAAGGATAATCAGTAGACAAGAACATTATAACAAAGCCATTTATAAAAATTATTATGGTGCGAAAAAGATAACAATAACTTAATTTTTAATTAGTTAATTAATTTAATAGTAGAAGCTTGGACCTTCTACAGTGGCAATGCGAAGGATTACGTGTCTTATATGAGAATTCCTGTACATCAATGTGTTGGAATGCGATAAAGATGAGCCGCTTACGAATATTCTGGCCTTCAGTAAATAATATGAAGGTTAATATGTCAACTAACTCACTTTCTAAAAACCATTATGAAACCCTTGAACTGAAGCAATCTGCTACACATAATGAAATTAAGTCTGCATATTACAAATTAACTATGCAATATCATCCTGACAAGAACAAGAGTGATTTTGCCAAGGAGAAATTCAGAAACGTTGCAGAAGCTTACGAGGTTCTTGGTAACCAGCATTCACGTAAGGCCTACGACCGCAAAATTACAGTCAGGAAAACAGGGTTGTCACCACAAAGGGGTCCTGTCATCATTAAACCCCCAACAATGAATATCTATAAAACCAGGATGGCCACAAACACTGATGCCTCTAATATGTTTGATACAGGCTATAACTACGAAGAGTGGATACGTGCTCGTTATACAGCAAATTTCAGACGCCGTCAACAAGCAACTGGAAGATTAGGAAACATGATACATGAAGAAGATAAAAAGTCACCATCAATGTTAATCGGTTGTACAATATTTGGTATAATGTTCGTAATATTATTATGTCTTCAAACAACCAGTAACTATGATGTCCCTGCTCACTCATCTAAAACTAAGTCATCACTTAAAAATACAGAAAATGGATCTATTGGGAAAGATTAGGTGACTTTTGAATAGTGTGTGTATCTCACAAACATAGTGATATTATGTACCTCATAGATATTTATTGAAAATGTAGCCTGTACATAGTTGAGTGACAGAATTTTAGTAATAGGAAAAATAAAAATATTTTATTTTACCACATTACTGTAAATACATTTAACAAATGAAAGAAATCGATTCTATGACTTTCAAACGTTATTATTTTAACAATGACATTTTTTCACTCATACAATTTTCGGAGCTTGATTTGTTCTTATCTATATCAAAATATTTTTAATTTATATAATTTTTCTATGACAAACCAGAACTTTTCCAATACTTGTATTGAAAAGTATAATGTACAATTATTAGAGCTAATCATAGTTGTATGTAGAATATTTCAAGTATTCATAGATATATTTTTATTTTCATACCTTTGATCACTGTCATAATGCAGATGTTTAATATGGCCTGTATAGTGGCGGCACAGGCATCGGCATGCTTACAGGTCCCATTGGGTATGGAACAGATGGTCCCATTCCAGGGAAATTGCTTGCACTCGGATACCCTGGACATCCAGGAGCAGCATGTGTTGGTGGTCTTCTCATCAATTCTCTCATTTTATCAACTTTTACTTTTCGAAGATGCATTAGATTCCTTGGTGTTAGAAACTGTTCTAGGAACTCATCAACTTCCATGTCACCAGCCAAAAATTTCTCAGCTAATTTCTATAATCATTCAATATTATTAATATTTAAAAAACATATTTGCTTTGTTATATATAGCAATATTTAAAATCATACTTCTGATTCTTCTTCTATTTCTGCTGCTGCTGCTTGAAGTAAATCTAAGGCAGTGTCAACTGTCATTGAGCCCAACTTTTCCTCTATAAAATTAATAAAAGCAATTATTAATTATTCAATATCAAGTTAAACCTAATGCAGAAAACATACTTCTCTCAATTAATTTTTCCTGTACACTGGAGCACAACTGACTTCCTTTTTCACTGAGTTTTTTTAAAACCTGTTTACCTTCCTCCAACTCTGGTTGCATCGCCAAATTATATTCTGCTAATGATCTGTTGCTAGCCATTAACATCTCTTTTTCCGTCTCCAATTCCTTGAACTAATTAAAAATAATTCCATCGCGTACATAGATACCATTATCAGTACCTTGACAAGCATAACCTCAAAAATAAAACTACTCGAGTTTCATGAAATATCCAGTGAAATACTCAAAATAATTCACTATCATTTTCTTTAGTTAGCAATAATCTATATAATAAAGAGCGAACCTGTTTAACATCTTTTACGATATCTTCAAATTTTCGATCATCATTCAACAATTCCCTAAGTTCTTCATTGTTAAGATGAGATAGTAATCCCAGAGCTGCAGGAATATCAGGTTCTTCGATTGAGTTATACATTTTAACTGGCTTCCGACTCTTATTAAAGATACTTTATCAGTCCAAAAATTAAAGAATATTCTTGAAAACACTTTTCTACGTGAAAGAAGATAATTGCACCATCTACGTCAAACTGACACGCGACACACTCAGCACACTATAACCATAGTTCAAAAATGTAAGGTATGTTAAAGTCAGGCGTCCGTGTGTGGTGCAGAGCCATTGAAGAGGGAATTATAAAAGTTAAAAACTATGTTTCATTATGACGAAAAATTTATTCAGATACTGATATTGCAAGATACTCTGAGGAACCAGATCACTAACAAAATACAAATATTGAAAATATCATGATCTCATACTTAAAAGTGGAATTTCAATAGATTCATGTCATTAGGGAATTTTTTTAATTAATAAAAATGGAAACACCTGCCTAATTTGTGTTATTATGGAAACTTTACTAATATCTTACTATAGCCCCTTACTATATACGCCTTTGTACATAGGCGTAGCTAATACATTATAACGTATAGTGGGGGATGTACTCATGCATTGATTGGTTTACTATTCTCCCATTAATTGAACCTAATCCTATATGCTAAAATAGTTCAAGGGCGCATGATTAGGAAAAATGTGTTAGAGTACCAGAATCTTGGAGTTATTTTTTAAAATTTTCTTTATCAAACAGTATCAACAGTACTTACTAACCAAATTCTTTTTGTGTGTCATCAGATCTAATGCGATTAATGTAATGTAAATGATATCATGCATTGTATACATGTATTTCTACTGTGAGATCTTTAACGATATGAAAGCGGTAGCTATTAAGTTTACATATTTGGTATTGTAAATTATTGTGTAATAAAATATCTAGGAAAAATATATTCACATTATGTGTCAGTTTTACTCTCATTATGTAATCTAGTAAAAGGTTATATTTAAATAAAATAGATAATCGAAACTAGATGTTATATCCATGTTTTCAATTAATTAATTCTACAAAATTAATTCATGAAAAAATGACACCAATTCCGATCATGGGATATTCTAATCTTATTTCTGGCATATGTAAAATTCCAGGTATGTCTGTGATAAATGGTTGAAATTAGATTTAAATGTTATTAAAATGTAATTTTGATAGGTTATCGATGCTTATCGACACTGGAATTTGTACCAAAGTGTGAGCCTGTAAAATGTAAGGATGTGGAAATTCTAAAACAATTTTTGGACAACACTGGCAGTCTGTGCGTTCTTACTGGTGCTGGAATATCAACTGAAAGTGGAATTCCTGACTATAGATCTGCTGACGTTGGACTTTATGCTAGAAAAGGCCATAGACCAGTACTCTACAAAGAATTTTGTGATAGTGAAGCTGTTAGAAAAAGATACTGGGCTAGAAACTACGTAGGATGGCCACGGTAGAACAAAGAATTTTTCAGTATCAGAATACAATGCAAAAGCCTTGTAATTTTATTTTTTTAGGTTTTCCAGTTTTCAGCCAAACGTTACTCATATAACATTGAAAAATTTAGAAGATACTGGTAAAGTGAGGTGTATTATTACTCAGAATGTAGATAGCTTACACAAAAAAGCTGGTAGTATAAATGTGATTGAACTTCATGGTACAGCATTTCAAGTTATGTGCTTGAGTTGTGATAAAAAAATTAGTAGAGCTGCCTTTCAAGAGACACTAAAGGAACTCAACCCTGATATGAATGTTACAAGTAACATGATGAGGCCTGATGGTGATGTTGATTTATCGCAGGTTTGTCATATTACAGATACATAATAGTTTACGTATAAAATCATGTTAACAAAAATATTATTTACTTAGGAAAAAATTGAAGGTTTTAAGTTTCCGTCATGTTCAAACTGCGGTGGAATATTAAAACCGGACATCGTATTTTTTGGAGATAATGTCTCTAGGGATGTCGTGGAACATGTAAAAAGTGAAGTTGTGGCTGCAGACTCTCTTTTAGTGCTTGGATCATCGTTAACAGTATTTTCTGGATACAGAATTGTTCTTCAAGCTGTTGATGCCAAAAAACCAGTAGCAATAGTTAACATTGGTGAGACTAGAGCGGATGAACTTGCATTCATCAAATTAGAGAGCAGATGCGGTGATATACTTTCTAAATTGTATAATAGTATAGGATAAATTTCAATTTATTGCTGAAAATAAACGTTAGAGCGATTAATTTATACATATACCAGTTGTAATATTCAAATATATAGTATATCCACGAGTTCAGTGTAGGCGATTGGCAGCATGCGAAAATAGTCCCTAGTTACTTTGAATGGTTTTACTACGCGTTCAAGCCTCCGTCCCCTACCCTCGCAAATACGGGTCGATCTATGATTTTAAATAACACGCGAGGTGATCAAAAAGTATACGTAGAGTTAAATTCTTATCGTCAGTCTGTCAAAATAATTGAAATAAATGTTTAAGTTTTATTATTAATTCACATCTGTAAATAAAGTGATCATATATTTGATTTCATAAATTTGTATCCGCACTACTTTAACGGGCGCAGTAAAATGTGCTACTGCACTTCATTTTAGAACATTGACGTTTTAGAAAAAGGTTTCTTAAAGATCTAAAAAATTTTGTTTCCTAGAAACTTTCTCCTACATATTCTATGATATACTAATCATATTTTTATTAGAAACCATTTTTTTAAAGTTACTACTTCATGCTGTGGACGAAATTATATGCATTCATGAACATGGAACATACATGTGTTGTATGGCTACCACGGCCAGAGACAGCACTGGATTTTCTTTGCAGTCATTCTATTACTGCCAACATTACTAGTAGAAAATATTTTCGTAATATTAATACTGCAATTTCATTATATCAAACAATTATGCAGCAGTTTGGTGTGTAATTATATCTTATTCTTCTTACTATACAAGAGCAAAAATATAAATTAAAGCATGACATGCTTTTAGAAGAAATTACTGGTACAGGCCTCATGAAAGCACATGTTGCGGGCTAGGGATTTCATAGTTTTCGATCTGTCAAAAAACCATACCGAACTCGTGGACCTACTATACATGCATACAGGTAAACTGCAGTATACGACTCCGAACTGAAGTTGGCTGCTAGTGACTTAGATTTTTAACGTAGCGCCATCTATCAAATGTAGTGCGAATTGCATAGAATAGTGGCGCCACCTGATCGGAAAAAGAGCAACTATCTTTAAAAATTTGAAATGAATATATTTTTACTTTTATCATATATATTATCTTCTTATAAAAATGTATTTTCACAAAATATGACCTAGTAATCGCAATATTCCATGTTTGGAGATTTTTTTCGTTTAATTTTCGTGCTACGCCACACAGGTTTGCACCTATTATGTATACATATATTTTGGTATGAAGATATTATTACATATTTTTATATTAAATATGTGTATATTTAATTTATAAATAATATTATTTAAAAATATAAGTATGTATAAGTGCAAGCTCGTGATTGTACATTGAGCATTAAATTTAATCTACTGCTTCGAGATTGTTTTGCAGCAATGTATCGTCTGCTTTCGTAAAACATGTAGGAGCATGATTTTCGTTAGTAGCTCGCAAAGCGTGTAACACAAGTGTGCTATTATTTCTTTTGCGTAAATTGGATTGTGTGTGATCGATTGCAATGGTGATCCGGTTTGTAGATTTGTTCAAACTATGTGAGAAACTTTCTATGGAGGTAATCACCTTTGCTCAAAGATACGGACTTATAGCTCGGACTTTCAGGTGTCCAGTGTGCGATAAAGACATGATTCTATGCACTACTGAATTTCTTTCGGGCAAATATCGTTGGCAATGTCGTAGTTGCAAAACAACGAGATCAGAAGATTACGAGCATCTGATCGTCAATCATTAATTGACTTTCAAAGATCTCGAGATTGGTGCTTCCACAAACGTTATAAAAGGATTGTGAGCATTGGTAAAACGGCAACTGCCGGATTGCAATCGCAGCAAAGGCATGTTCTCTTCATATTTGGTGGAGTTTATGTACCGACGCTTGCGAACAGATGCTCTTGATCCTTTTGAAACGTTTTTGAAAGACATTGCTCGCGTTCATCCACCTCCATCCAACGACGTGGACAGTACAGAGGACAGTGACGCAATGGAAGCAAGCGAAGTAGATTTCGAAGTGGAATCGTCGACGGAGGAAATCCCAAAAAATCGGCACTTTTCAGAGCCACCAATTATTGACGTAGCATCAATTTCTCGATTCACAATAGTTTGCGTAAGATGAAAGAAGAGGTTTCAGCTTCGAAATTTGTAAGTAAATTATATAAATTTATGTATAATATATTTTTTCAGATCTTCATTAATTGATACATACAATGTGTATTCCAATAAAAATAAATTGGTTTTATAATTTTAAATATGGTTAATTTTTTTTCTAGTAGGCGGCGTGACTATTCCATGCGATTCACATTATATACGGCAGATGGCGCTACCTCAAAAAACCTAAGTCACTAGCAGCCAACTTCAGTTTGGAGTCGTATACTGCCGTTTTACCCATGCATACTGTCTCATAAAGAAAAAGTCCCTAGCCACTAAAAATACACAATATACTTCTACATGCGCAGTTTGTTGTGTATAGTATAATTTACATATCACTCAGAACTTTGAACCGTCTTCCAAAATCGGCCAGATCCTAAAAAATATTCAACAATGAAAGATTGACACATCAGCTGCCTCTTATAAGTGTGTTATTGGCGCGATTCACTTGTTTTCTTGCACTTATAAAGTACAAAGTATTACTTATAAAGAAATCAAACAGGAAACAGTGTACTTTGCTATACTTTCGCAATCATTCATTGTTGACAAAAATGCAGTGCCTGAAAATGTTTGGTAAGTACTTCTCTAAATCAATTTCATTAATATGTTACAATAATTTAATATTCCACCAGGTACATATCGTGTTATTTCTAAGATTAATGGCGTTTACCGAGGCATTGCTTCACTGTCTTCTTTATCTGAAACTCATCAAATGTTATACAAGACATGCAGGTATTACATTGAATTTCATAATACAAATGTATAGAAAATCTAATAGACATTCTTTAAATACAGAGATTTTGCTGAGGGAGAATTAAAGCCAATAGCTGCAAAAATAGATAAAGAGCATCTCTACCCAAAGGAGCAAATTAAAAAAATGGGTGAACTTGGTCTTATGGCTATAGCTATCCCAGAATCAGTAGGAGGCACTGGTCTAGATTACTTAGCATATGCCATCGCAATGGAGGAAATTTCTAGAGGATGTGCTAGTGCAGGAGTAATTATGAGTGTTAACAATTCATTGTACTTGGGACCCATAGACAAGTTTGGTACAAAAGATCAAAAGGAAAAATATATAACTGAATTTGTGAGTGGTGAGAAAATTGGATGTTTTGGCTTAAGTGAACCTGGAAATGGTTCAGATGCAGGTGCAGCATCCACCACAGCCAAGTTAGAAGGAAACTATTACAAAATCAATGGCACAAAGTGCTGGATCACAAACGCATTTGAATCGCGTGCAGGAGTATTATTTGCTACAACAGACAAATCCCTAAAGCATAAAGGAATCAGTGCCTTCATATTCAACAATCCAACAGATGGCTTGACTCTTGGGAAAAAAGAAGACAAGTTGGGTATTAGAGGAAGTAGCACGTGTTCTCTAATATTTGAGGATTCCTTAATTCATGCAGAAAATCTTTTAGCAAAGCCAGGAATGGGTTTCAAGATAGCCATGATGACGCTCGGTAACAATAATTAAACAAAGAACAAAATTGTTAAATTTATTATTAAACGTTATATTCACTTTAGATGCTGGTAGAATAGGCATCGCCTGCCAGGCCCTTGGAATAGCTCAAGCCTCTTTAGAATGCGCAATGGAATATGCATCCAAACGTATTGCATTTGGCACCGCGATTATTAAGCTGCAAGCAATTCAGCAGAAAATCGCTGATATGGCGTTAAGACTCGAGAGTGCTCGTCTACTTACTTGGCGTGCTGCTCATCTCAAAGATGCTGAGAAACCTTATACGAAGGCACGCTCCACGATCTTCTTATCTATTATTTATATCTCAAAAGGAACTTTGTATTAATTAATGATGTGGGTCAACAGGAAGCTGCTATGGCGAAATTGGCTGCCTCAGAAGCTGCCACATTCTGCTCGCATCAGTGTATTCAAATTTTAGGAGGAATGGGATATGTGACTGACATGCCTGCTGAACGTCACTACAGGGACGCCCGTATCACAGAAATATATGAAGGAACGTCCGAGATACAAAGATTAGTCATCGCTGGCAATCTCGTGAAAGAATATGGACTCAATTAAACTACTTGCCTTTACACTCAGTCCTACTGAGGAACTCTATTGAGAAATAATTGCTGCTCATGATTGATTCATTGTCGTTGTGGCAACGTAGAGAACTGTAAACGCACCCAACGACATTTAAAAATAGATATGATACTTCTGTGCATGATAGGAATGAATATTTATTAATGGGTGTTTGCATTGTATAGAAATTTTTCAAAATTTTAAGGCTGAAACCTAAGTTATGTAAATAATTTTTTGATATTATACATGAAAGAATGGTTAACCTTGACATATTTTTGTACTATCGAAGGAATGAATAAATTTTATATGCTTTAATATCTTCGGAATTTATTAGCGTTTTTTCACCAAATGGCTCTTCCAACATATATGTATGTATGTATATATATATATATATATATATATATATATATGGATTGTTTTTCTTCTTACTAATCAGCCCTTTGGCAACGCTACGCGAAATTCATGTTTTCCTGTCGCGAGGAACAACTAATGCCTAACTATCAAATAGTTATTAGGACACAGCTATTAGATACTGCGCACCCTGAAATTCATTCTGAAGAAAATTATGACGTCTTTCACAAATATATAGTCGTTTACTACACGACGTGGCATCCCGACCGACACATTTCTTCGTGACATTACGACTATATATTATTCATTTATACCATTTTCCCAGCGACCACCGTGCGATGCAAAAATTATTTTTTGTTATACTATACGGAAATTATATCTCACACCAATTGAAAACAATCACATGTTCTCTATTGCAACATGAAACAAAGATATGGCTACGTATCTTAAACTATAAACAGTAACATAAAGGTACGCATAATGTGTTTAGTTTGTGCAAGCAACTGTTATTCGAGTTTCTTTTTTTAAGCGTATACGGGAAATCTTAATCGACATTAAAAGCTACGGATAAAGCCTGGTTCATAATTATTTAATAGCTATAGCCAGTGTTAAGTTTCTTTGAGATCGTGCCGGGTAGTCGTGGAAAAGTCAATTATTTTATGTATATTTTTTTCGGCTCATTTTCATCATGAACGGCCGCGTTCCACGTCGTACTCTTATATTTTCAGTTCCAATTTCATCGTGCGCCTTATTTATATACATAACACTTTTATACCGTTTAAACGTTCAACCACTTCTGCACTGTCATCAAAATTGAAACATAGTCTAATTTCATGTCCATAACACCCATTTGGCGCAAGGCTAGAATTATTTTCATATGCCTATATATATATTTTTTGTTTTCCCTTCAATTCGTTAGATTTACATTGATTATTTTCATATTCATACGTTCATTAAACAACTGGTAATGTTTAAACGTGACTTTTCTCATCGCAGCCTAATACGAAAATTCACTAGTGTCTCTGATGTCTGATTAAATGCACGGATAAAAACATAAAATCCAAAAACCTAATGGAAAAGATATTGAAGAATATTGCGTCGTGTTTGTTGATGAACATCTCTAATTTTTTCTTTTAATTATCTTATAATTGTTTTCTTTTGGTTTTGGGGAAGTGTCCTAAAGAAAATCTACGACGCGGCGAATTCATCGAATTGACATTTATGCAATTGCCGCAGTGGATGTAATTTCGAAGGCGCCGCAGGAGACGCCCCAAGTCGTCGGTGCCTTCTGCCAAAAATGAAATGACAAAAGTTCTACGATGGTTTTATCGATCGTGTCGCACACACGTTCTATTTACCCTGGCGCTACATTTCTATATGATATAATCGACGACACAATATTATGCTTGGCAATATTAATTATTGGTATGACGATCGAGAGAAACATTTACGCGAGAACATCGAAGACGAATTTTCAACGGACACTGTGTATAGATTTCAATAGCCATTATCCTTTATTTAGTTTTTTTATCTTCAAGCTTTCTTTTTTCAATTAAATTCATTTTGTAAACCTCAGGAAGATCATATGTCAAGCCATTTAACGATGCACGCACCGAATCTCACCCAAATTTAAACTTGATCGACACCGAATCATATTGTTTCTTATACTTTCTTTTCTTTGCTTTTTTCTTCCATTTTTATCCCATTCCTATCGGACTTTTGAAACATGCGGATTTTTTCATTTAAATTGACTGCAATTTTGCGCAACTATCCATGAACGGGAGAGCTCGCACTTTGTTATAGCAAGCATCTGGTAATTGCTCGTTAACAAACGTTAATCGTTAATATTATCCAACTACTATAGTATTAATAATTATCAATTTTTTCTATATCGGTCTCCTATCAGACTCAGGCGTTTACGCGTTATCATTACTTGCGAACAGATTCCATCTTGCATCGGTTTCTTCTTATCGCGTGTAATATTGTACAATAATAATAATAATAATAATAATAATAATCTTTGACTGTAGGTACATTTATCTAAAACGCTTGTAAAGGTAAATAAATTAAAGTTCGCAGTAGTAATAATAATTAGACACTGAATCTAGACAAATTGTGAAAACTGTCCCGATCAACGACGATCGCGTGTGTAATATGTGTAATGTGTGTGTCATTATTGGATATAGTGAAATTGGTTTAATCTTACTTAACAGTAGCTATTAAAGCCTCAATCTTCAGCGCGCATACCCCGAACTTCGCCCTCGTGCCGTTGCTGCAGAAAAGAATAATAAATAAAAGAATTTTACATGAGAATCGAGCCCATTTTGACAATTTTAATTCTTTTTCATTTAAAATTCTGAATAATGTTACTTACCCTGTCCAATTCGTCCTTCGTATTATCTTCAATGGCTCTAATGTCTTCCATTGTGAGTCCGTACCAACGATCTATCCAGCAGAACACCTGTCTGTGAAAATTCGTGAAGAGACGCCTCTCGGACTTCTGGATGAAGCTTTCAACTCTTGTCTGAAGGCCGAACCACTTAAATTCGCAAGTGACTAACTTGTAACAGGTCATTACTGGCTGAACCTTGGTCTTCCAGTCTTTGCCAACGAGTGGTCCCCTACCCGTTTTTTGGGACTTAAACTTTGTCGGATCCTCATCGACTTTATAGTCAGCGGTTGGAATTGGATCATTTGCTATGTCTATATGAACGACCTCTCTAACTTTTAATTTATCCGCAGACAGCTCGTGCACCTGCAGTTCATAATTGAATGATTAAAACATAGGATTAGAATATCGTACGATTAGATAAACTTTTTAGTTTGTAATACATCGTTTGTTAAGCAATTCGATATTGGCGTTTGATAGCACGTCAGTCAAAGTCGATATTGTACGATTATAATGATCATGATGATTACTAGTATACATTTATAGAAAAAGTATCAAATAATATGAATTTCAATCACTGTTGTGTAAACTTACATTATGTTGATTTCCAACATCACCAATATGGAAGGATTCAATCATGATGACGAAATTGTCTTTCATGTAACCAGGATTCTGTAAAAATTAAGAAATGAAATGATGCTCTATTTTATTTCTGATTCATTGCTTTTACCTAATTAGTGTATATAAGATATAAATGGAGTATGGATAATTACAGTTATAACAGTTTTGCAATAAGGATAGGCATTCCAGGCTTCTTCATGGATCTCGAGGGAATTTTTTGGTAGCAAAAGTCGGATGAAGCTTGGCACTTTACTTGCCAAATGGTAGATCTTGTACGTATATTGACCTGAGGAATATTTTCCACCAAGTAATGGGTAGTCCGTAAATGGTTCATTCTTCAAAACCTCTATACCCTCACCACCTCCTGTATTATTCTTACTTGCCTCTGCTACTGAGTACAGTTGAGCAACTTGGTACTGCGAATACAAATGAAGATACATATACACCACATTTTCTATGAATACAATATTATACAACAATTTATGAAACCATTAAACAGTATAACATCAAATCGCGATATAAAAAACAAGGACTAAAAACGAGTGTGTTCAATATCTGAAGAAACTGAAATGAAATCTACATGTTGAAATACTTTAAAAATATTGCAGAGAAAGGGACAAATAATTAAGATTATTAGTTCTGTATAGTGATGAAGCAGTTGAAAGATATATGAACTATACTGTTCTGAAGCATACAGTGATAAGATATGAAGCAAAAATCAAAAGCTTCATTTATTTTAGACAAGCAAAAACCTAAGACCATATGTTTGAAGCTATAAAAAAAAAACTTAAAATAGAAATCTCAATAAATTTGAAATGATTATTGCTTAAAAAGATGAGTTATTTGGCTGTGCTTCGTTAGAGACCAGGCTTGGCCTCATGCACAGACGTAAAACTATAAGGGGAGGACCAGAGTACCAAGGGTATATTTTTCAACTGGCAAACAGTCATTAAGTGAGTCGTAGCTTCGTAAGATTTTGCAGTATCACTAAGAGAACCGTTCTGTTGTTCACTCTCGGCGCGTGTAGACCGAGAGGTTCACAATGACGAGCATAGGGAGACCTTATGGAGTGGCAGTGACATACCTCTTCGACGGTAAGAGGCAGGGTAACACGGCTGTAACAGAAGACAAAAAAGTACAGATAACATATGAATTATGTGTTAAAAGTCATGGTCTAATAGTGTCAAATACGTCCTTGAGTCACGATATTGCAACGCTCGACATAATCTTAAATACAAGTGGCAAACGTTCTTATTACGGGTTGCAATATGACGAATCACGTTTTGCGTGTAGTATCGCACGCGATAACGATCAATAGCCAGACAGTCCTCATATTTTCTTCTTTTTTTTCTTTAAAGTCCCATCAAATTTGATGCATTTTCTTTCTCCTAGCGCTTCCACCCATCCCCGCCAAGGAAAAGGGGATGAGGCCATCCCCCTCTCCATTAAAGATTAGCAACCCATACCCCCAACTTCGGCTAAAATTTTCGGGCCAAGGACCACTTATTGTGGCCTTGTTCAAATCGTTATATATAAATGCATCGTTACTCACAATTCCTTGATGAGCATTTTATTCAGTAGAGCACATGGACCGCGAGAGAATGACTTTGACGTGAAAAACGACCACCCTTCCTTCTGTAGATTTGCTCGCGGTATCTTCTTGTCAAAGCCACACACACAAGTACTACCTGCTGCTTTGCCGAGCGACTGACACAATCTAAGACCTAAAGGGGCTTACGAGTGCCACGACTGCCACAAGGCACATATACACGCGCCAATTCCCCCATTAAAGTCAATGCCGCCACCCCCAGCCGTTGGAAAATGACGTCATTCGTGTACAGTCTGTGATAAATTAAAGGATCCTGGGGAATTCATACGTTGAGAAAATTGTTTAAACTAAATTCGACATCGTAAGAGAACTATCAATGTTTGTAAAATTAAAAAACGTATTAGGTTGAAGTCTGATAAGTGATTATTGGAAGTACGGCAATATTTTTTCATCAGCATTGGGAAAAAAAAATTCGTTGGACAAGTTCTAGTTACTTATTGATTATTTTTTAGCGACTGGCAAACGGCCATTCCTGCACTATGCTGGAAACTTGACAAAAGCTGAATCTGGATCTAGGAGAAGAGTATCATGTATTTTTTGTGCTCGATGACTTTAGCTGAAAGATAATCGTCGCGCACTTGTGGAGAGTGTTTAAAAAAATACAGCCGGAAATGGCGGAGTGTGATTGATTCTAAAATCATATTGGACCCAGATAGCTCGTACGGTCGCAATGAAACAGGGACACCGATCGCGTAATAATAATGTCTCGGTCCTTTTCTCTCGTGATCGAAAGAGTGAATCGTCTGTATTACGTGATTGTGAGGATTGATCGACTAACTTAGTGGTCAGGATGAGCACTGGAAAGTCTTGCAATTGGAACCAGAAGTACATTCGTTTCGGCTGACAGCGCTGTCGTTGGTACGTTAGAAACAAGGCGTTTTCCTATCGTTGTAGGTCGCCGTTTCTCGTATCTAAAGGACATAGAAATTATCTTCGGAAAAAAAATTGTTCTTGATAACTAACTGGATCAATGCTCCTATAGCTTGTAATTTGAAGATCGCTGAACTTGCGAGAAAAAAGTGCAAAAGAGAGGGGCAGAGTGAGAGTGAGTGCTTGATGCGATATAGAAGGGAGCGGAAGGAAGTTAGTTTCGAAGTATTAAAAAAATAAAGAGACGAGTGAATAATAAAAAAAAAAATATAATTGCGATTTAAGCATACAAAATGGATGAGTGTATGCTGAATGATTTGCTAGAATGTTCAGTTTGTCTTGAGCGATTGGATACATCCAGTAAGGTACTCCCTTGCCAACATACATTTTGTAAAAAGTGCCTTGAGGAAATCGTGAGCACTCATCGCGAGCTACGATGTCCAGAGTGTAGAGTATTAGTCGATGCAAAGATTGATGATTTACCACCAAATGTTCTGTTAATGAGGATTTTAGAGGGTATGCGTAATGCTGCCCCCAAGGGTATTAAAACACCTTTGCGGTGTAATCCTGGACCACAGAGACTGCTTGGTGGGCATCAGATTGCTCCAGCATCTGTTACTACCAATTTAGCACCTGTTGTGCTTGCTACTGATCCTACGAGGCATGCTAATGCTGCAGCCAAACAAGTGCACCTCCATAATCAGCCATACGGAAGAGCCATTTATGATTACATTTCTAAAGTTCCAGGGTCAGTTTACTATTTCAAATATTACTTTTAAATATGGAATTTTTTATACATTTATTTGGTTGTTTCTTCCTTATAGGGATTTGAGTTTTAAAAAAGGAGACATTATTGTTTTGCGCAAAAAAATTGATAATAATTGGTATTTTGGAGAATGTGGTAACAACCATGGTGTTTTTCCACTGTCTTATGTTCAGGTATTTATGAAAAAACAATTTATAATTCTGAAGCTTTTTACACTGATTATACGTTATCCATTTAAGGTGATGACTCCTTTGCCTCCTCATGTGCCCCAGTGTAAAGCACTGTATGACTTTAGAATGACTAATGATGACGAGGATGGTTGCCTCACTTTTAACAAGGTAGATTTATCACATTATACGCCAATCATTCTCGCACGCACAACACAGACTCATTTTTTTAGGGCGAGGTAATCAGCGTAATTAGAAGGGTCGACGAAAATTGGGCAGAAGGCAAACTCTTAGATCGCATTGGTATATTTCCATTGGCATTTGTAGAATTGAATAGCGTTGCTAGAGCCTTAATGAAGCTGTCAACAAAGTAAGGATGTTCTTCTAATATAACAGTCAATTCATATAATCTAGATGACTTAATTAATTTCAAAACCTAAATAGTGCACAACCAGGTCCATCAAGAGTTGCTCCACCAACCCCAACCAATGAAGAAACTACTCCACTGATCCCAACAGACCATTCTCGAAATATACAAGCAGCGAGTCAGCCACGACCGCAAATTCCACCAGTAAGTGTCCACTAATATAAGAAAAATGTCTTATCAAAATAAAAAAGACTGAACTTCCTCAGACCGCAGCACTTCCGGTGTCCGACTCAAGTTCGACTGTCTCATCTGGCGGTAGTTCTACAACAACTACACCAAATACTCCAAATAGTTCAAGCACTTCTAGTAGTTCAAGTACCGCCCCAAGTAGTCCAAGTAGTCCAGCAACTTCTCCACCAGCAGTTGGCAATAGGCACAATGTTAAGCGACACAGTTTTACTGCCGTTAACACTGGACATCACCCGCATCCTCATCATCGACATAGTGCTGAGATTTTAAGTCCGGCAATGGATGCGGTATTGAGCAGTGGTGACGCAGCCAGCAATGAGTCATTCTCCTCAGCCCAAGTAAGGACTTATCATAGAGAAAATATCATTTATGTTACGTAGATCGAAATAAAATAATCTTGTACATTTAATAGACAAGCGGGAGTTCGGAACATGCACTTCGACACAGACGTAGTGGCAGCAGCGATCTAGTTCTTGCCCAACCATCACAAAGTACTCCTACTAATTCTACCAGTAACCACTTGCCTGCAACTTACATAGCACTGTACCCCTACAAGCCTCAAAAAACAGACGAACTCGAATTACGCAAGGGTGGAATTTATATGGTAACCGAGCGTTGTCAGGATGGCTGGTTCAAGGGTACATCGAATCGCACGCAAAAATGCGGTGTATTTCCAGGAAATTATGTAGCACCGGCAAAGTAAGTATGCAAATTTCTTAAGTACGTGCAGAAACGTACATCGACTATAAGGAATACTAATGCGAACGTGTCTGCTGTGTCTTAGATGTCAACGCGGTATCTGTCGTACATCACCCAATGCGATTTCCCACCAGGGTAATCCTTTAACATCAGTATCAATGAATACGGAACCACGTTTAACAATGACTTATACAAGGAACAAAGGTCCTGCTCCGCAGCCCTATAATCTGCGTTCTTTACCGCCACCGGAATTGCCCCCGCGTGCTGCTAGTCCCGTTCCTGCTATATCATCTTCTTGGCATGGTCAGGCACAGAGTCAGGTTCAAAACCAAACGCAGCATTCTGAACAAGCTGCAGCAGCTGCCAATCCTCTTGGACGAAGTCACAGTGCCGTTATGTCTTCTAACGTTGGTGCGTAATTGTTAGAAAAGGTTGAGCTACATTATTCATAATTGATTCGACGCCAAATATACAAAATTACAGCTTCTCCTGGTAAGCAAACAATGATGCCACCTCCAGTCACTACATCAGACTTAAATCGAAGTCCTAACAATACTCTGCGAATTGCTAGTGGTGTTACCCCGCCGCCAAATACGTCTGTATCAACAGCTGCAACTAGTGCAAAAAGTGCCGAAAAGGTATTAGATTTCATAACGGTATAAATTTACATCACAATACAGATGGATAATTTTGGATAATATCGGTTTGACGTCTATGGTTACAGCCAAAAGAAAAAAAGGATAAAGCTGTTTCGTTGATGCGTCGCTTGACGAACATAAAAAAGTCGAAATCGCCGCCACCTGCTTCTTATTCAATGGACAATCCAGTATTCGACGATGGGAATTCAGTGGCTTCCATAAACCCGATACATGTTCGGTAAGAACTTTCATACTTGTCATTGCATTTTCATGAGTTAGTGTTATTGTTTGTCGTTCGTTCTGCTTTGCATTACAATTTTACTATTTATCTCTAATCTTCATTAACGTATGATACTCATAACTACGTGTACGTACACTTAATAGTTAGTCCGCATGACTTAGCAACAAGTTCTATGCACAAATTTATACGCACATTTTCAGTTTTCTACTATAAGTGCATTGTGAATATATTCATCTTATACGAACTTTGCAAATTCCTACGACAGCGATAGTAACCGGATTATACTCAAAGTAAAATAAAGAAGCAGATGGAAACAAAGAGTGAAAATATTCACTGAAAAATGTGTTGTGCTCTAATTTCGTTGGGGGGGATTATTGGCGATTAGGTCAGGGTCTTGCCCGAGTCAGTTGCTCCAGGTGGGACCAAGCCAGGATGTAAATACTCCAAACAGCCATCACCGTATGTACCCAGGCCTTGGTCAAGGGCACGCCACTACTTCACAGAGACTTAAACACAAGGAGCGTCCCTCCTTGCCAGTTTCGTTCCTCCAGAGGTTAGTCGCCATTTCTAATGTGCCAAACATTTGGAATATTTTCCTATACTGCGTCGCGAAGGTTCAGGATCAGAACTGTCAATTAAATTTCAATGGCTTGCTATCATCGACAATTTTATATAATCACTGACATTTAACATTTGCATTGTGCATTGTGATGTTAATATTGAACGTTCTAGTCTGCACAGTAGCATGAATTTCTTTATAGTACTGGCAGCAATGGGGGTACGTATATTTATATTTCCACCCTTGTTTACACGTTATGTTAAATACGCGTTGTAAAGCATATAGTTTTCTAGAAGACAATGTCATACTAGGTGAGTAATTCCGATTGCTCCTGCCACGTCTCCTTCCTACTCCCATTAGATACTCTTCATCTCCCGCCACATGAAACACGGTATACCAGATCCTTAGTATATGATTGCCTTCGTTTGTCCACACGCTACTTCCTGGATTTGGGCAGATCGGGTGATGGTGTAGTCGGTGCCGTTGTTGGGAGTCATCATCGTAAGAGTAACTCTCTAGATGCCGGTACTGGAAAACAAAGTAGGCAGCAGCCTTCTTCGAGAGAAAGGTGAGTACGTCGTAAATTTTACAGGCAAACAGGTTTACCATATGGAACGACCCCGTGACATTATGTAGCTATATATAATCGCATTTAAAATAAAATGTGACATATACCCCAATCGTATATGTGGCACGTACCATTTTGAAATCAAAAGTTTAATAACAGGAACTTGTGGAACTCTCATCCAGGACGTAAACTCGTTCAATTAATTTCAATGCCAGTTTTGAGTTTCAGATACCGTAATATCAGTATGTGTACATGTATTATTTTTTTTTTTTCTACTAAAAGCATAATATGCTACCACATATTTCACGGGTCGTGCCTTATAATTGGCCTGTGCCATTATTAAACTTAATTCTTTGTTCTTAATGATCATTCTTATGTTATGTTTTTTGTTTCTTCTCTGCCTACTGCTTCTACTGAGTTCAGAGAGCGGGTGTACAGGTTTCGTTGTATTGTGCCGTATCCACCAAATAGCGAATTCGAGTTAGAGCTGCGCGTTGGTGACATAATATATGTTCATAAGAAGCGCGACGACGGGTGGTATAAGGGAACACAACAGCGCACAGGACGCACTGGGCTATTTCCTGCAAGTTTTGTGGAAGCTTGCTGAGATACGACGTATGGCTGTCTCGTCTTGGAGACGTGTATATAAGGCGCAACGAGAATCCTGTAGTAACTCCCGAACACGGCGGATAATAATATCAAAGATTTCAACAAATTTTGAGAAATACGATTGCGAAACGAGGCTGGCCAATTTTATCGTAGCTCTAAACTTATGAAATTATGAAGTATAATAAACGAGTGGTATTTTCCGCTCTGCGTGATATCGCTACAAATCCATTGATTTCATGCGCATCGTTATTGTACAGAGTAACTCGAGTGTTACTTATTCTATTTTAAAAAATCAATGAAATTGAATGAAGACCGCGAACACAGGTTCGGCGTTGAGGCGGAACCATACCTGAAATTTATACTGCCATCGATAACATATAGTCTTTTATAATTAAAATACTTTGGAAGCACGTCGAACTCTACCCGAAGTTCATACTGCCATCCGTAAAAAATGATTCTAGAAATGTAATTGGAAAATTTGTACGTCTTTAGAAATGACGTTTTGTGGCTTATTAGAAGGCACCGAGTTATTTCAAATAGAGAAGTTTGGAGGGTATCTTTTATATTTGATAAAACGATAAATACAACAAGTAAATGCGTTCGAGTGGCTGACTGAATTAACCAAGCAACACGTTACTTGTTTCTTTTTCGATTATCAAATGACTGACGAACAATCGACAAAAACCCACCGTCAGCTAAGAACATGAAAGTTTAGAAAAATCTCGCTACGATCTGCCGAATCTCATAACCACGAAAACACAGCGAAAGTGCAATGATAATTGCGCAAAGTTAGCCCGGAAATAGAGTATCGAATACTGTCAGATGTCTGTAATTATTACATATGTAACGCACAGCGATAATAACGACACACATGTACACGCATTTTATGCGCTTAGTCATATACGCATGCGTGTACAAGGCACGGATATTTATTTATTTATTAAATAGCACATACGGTAAGATCGCCAGCAGAATTCACGATCGGCTCGACCGAGAAGGGACGCGAGTTCACATTCTACGTTGTATTACAGGAGGTAAAAAAGAAGAGAAAGAAAAGAAAAATACTACCGGTTATTATAATCTAGTGCTTACACATATGGAATCTACATTGTTTTAGCTATCATCACATTTAAGCGATAATTACGAACAGCGTTTATGCGTATGTTCTTTATTATATAACGGGACCCGTTGCCGTCTAATTTTTAAAATCGAATACACTCGATTTTCAAAAATCTCTAAAAATTCGACGATAACTTGAGTCAATAAACCGTCATGCGTGTCACTTTCAATTTGCGATGCAAGTTTTACAGGTATTTTCCCGTTGTGAAGATTCCATTTAAAGTGAATTATAGTGACTTTTAATTGTTTCAGTCTGATTAGGAAATTGCAATAGCTACTGGTTATTAATTTAAGATTATTCTGTGTATTGCTCTTATTGGAGTATATTCTTTTAAAAGTATCACCATTGACGGTGTATAGACTTAAAACTTAGATAGTAATTAAATCAACAGTCTTATATTCAATGCGAAGTGTCGTCTTTGCATTTAAAGACTAATTGTCGCATTAGACGGACTATAAGTGGAATCTAGTAATACATATAATTGATGACTATATCGCGTACTAAAGCGTTTTTCAATTTCTCTCTAGGGTGAGTCTATGGGTTTGATCACATGAAATATCGCCAAAACTATTAAAGTCTAATACAAATTTTTCTAACAAAAAGCAGATATCAATCATACCACAAAAAATAAAATGTGTCAATTCATTTCAACAATTAGGATGATGTTGAAATCTCCAAAGCACGTTCACTAGTTCAAAATCATTAGCACTTTCTCTTTGTTATGCAACTTTTGTTGGAACAATTTTTCTGTGGCTAATAGTTTCGGATATATTTCAGATGGTCAAAATTATTTCTTCGCCCGCTATATGCATATATATATATATATATTTTTTTGTGTTCATGACATTCGATTCAGGCTGTCTATTGGTCAGCAATATAGGATTTTTTAACAATTTTATTGTGAGATTATTTGTAAAGTATTTTTCTTCTTTATTTTTCATTTATCGTCGTCTATTATTATCATTATGACCACATGAGAATATCATGCACAACATTTACACTTTCTGAATTATTCTATTTTTTAAACTTGGTTCTCTTTTGGAATCGATTACACAAATGGCAAACTCTTTGCTGCTGGCCACAACTAAATGGATATTTATTTATAGCTTATATAATACACATGAGAATATTTATACATGCGTGTTTTGTATGATGGTAATTTTAAGTAATTTATTATGAATAGTATGTAAAGAAGTGACAAAATTTGAACGCTAACTGGCTATCACTACAATGTCGTGTAATTTATTATGAATTATGCATCGACTCTAACGGAATCACTGGATAATCCAAGTACACATTATAATTGAGGTATTTTGAAGAAAATTTTTTTTTAATAACATTCAATATTTACTTTTATATTAAAATCTTTTGCAGTCCATGAGAATAGCAAACCTTAATTTCATTTTGGTGCTAAAATCTCTTCGGTTTTTTGATCATTCATAATTTTGTTTCTGTTTTGATTTTTCTTAAAAATGATAATGTTTCCGTTCATGTTACTGTTATTTATTTTATAATGTTGAGGAATATGTTAAATTTTTCCTACATCGCATATCGTGAAAGGGACAGATATTCGAACGCATATCGTCACCTTAGCAATAAGATAATTTTTAACGAAGGAGATATCAGTGAATTATGAATTATGAATTATGTTTTTCTTTTCTTTTCTCTCTTACATTTCATCCTCTGCAATCCAATGGAACTGATGATCATTCAAAATGGATAATTACGAATTTTATACTGTTACTCGGTTATCGTACTTTTATTCCAACAATATGACCTGTGTCAAGTACTGTCTCAGTGTTGTGTCCGACGTATTTTATATATGTAGGCATTTCTAATATTTAAATAGCGCGTAACGACTGTAATAAAAAGTGACGTGATGGTGATTATGATTGTATTTCCCATTAGCTGACAAAAAGAATTTTACCTGTAGACTAGTGGATTTATTGAAAGACTAACTTCCATAATACATAATAAATAATGATTTAAAATATAGTATTGTGTAATTCTTAATATTCACTTCCTTTTTTTGAATTTTCTATACGGCTAGATAACGTTCTCCAGTGTTGCCAATGAGAAAATGGAAACATTGGTATTTCCGTATATTGGCAGGATTGCCATAGAACAGGTTGGGTATTGAAAGGTGTATGAAAAGCCATGGCTGCAGCGGCCTCGTTTGGGCTGTACTTGGGAAATACATCAGCCTGTTTAGCAATTTATAAAGTAAGTAGAGGATTTACTAATGTTCTACGTTAACAATTAGAGAAAATCTTCCCTTTTTTGAATATGTAAATTTGTATGCAACTACTGTCAGGTTAAATCAATCCTTGTACTGATTCAATACTCACTAGTTCTGTTTCTCCTCGTGTTACATTCAGCCGGTTTATATTAAATATGTTTATTTTTAGGACGACAATGTGGACGTTGTCGCTAATGATGCTGGAGATCGAGTTACGGCAGCTGTCGTTGCATTCAATGACTCTGAAAAGGTTTGAAGTCTTTAAAATAAGTTGTATAAAGTTTTTGAATAAGCTATTTTAGTCATTTTTACTAATAATTTTTTGTACTATATTTAGTATCAATGTAGACACTAGAGAATTGGTTTCATATTTTGTATATTTTACTTCATGCAAAGATTGAAATCGTAATGTCTTGCGATACGTGTCTTTTAAGTTATTACGTTATTACAGGTTATTGGATTGGCTGCCAAAACTGGGCTCTTTAGAAATGGTCCAGTTTCAGTGCTTAATAATAAAAGATTAATGAACAAGGATATTGATGATGTTGAATTGGAGTTAGCAATAAATAACAGTCCTAGTAAATTAGTGAAGGAATCAGATGAATTACGATATCTGATTAAAAAGAGAGAGAAAAATGAGAAAATATCACCTGTTGAAGTATCAACAATGATATTTGAAGCTATGTATAATATCTCTACAACAGCTGCACATGACGATGATGAGCACAATGTAGTGCTATGTGCACCACTACGTTTTTCTGCAGAAAGTCTCAAGACATGGAGCGAATCAGCAACAGCAGCTGGATTTAGAGTGTTACAAGTTATCAGTGAGCCAGCAGCTACATGCATAGCGTATGGCATTGGTCAGAACAAAAAGAAATCAGAGTTAGTACACATTTTATTAGATATCCCTAGCATAAACAAAACTGTTTTGAATGAAGTATACAGAGTCTTATGGTTACTTTCAGGCTAATTCTGGTATACCGAATAGGTGGTGTAACGAGCGAAGTAACTCTAATACGTGTTGCTGGAGGCACATACACAGTATTGTCCACACGATACTATTCAAAACTCGGAGGAAATAAATTAACAAGGATATTGGCAGAATATCTTGCTGGTGAATTTCGGAACAAGTACAAACTGGATCCTACAGAAAGTCGAAGATCCATGTCTAAACTGAATAACGCCGCAGAAACGTGCAAGCACGTCCTCTCTACGATGTCCACAGCTCATTGTTTTGTAGAATCGTTAAACGACGGTGTTGATTTCAGTCATAACATAACTCGTGCACGTTTCGAAAATCTGATAGGACCAAGTATCTCTGAATATATTGGCCCTATAGACGAGATCCTACAAGATAGTAAATATTCGCACAGCGATATTAATAAAGTCGTCCTTTGTGGTGGTACAATGAAGATTCCAAAATTGCAAGAAAAGATTTCGCTACTTTTCCCAAATGCTGAGACGGTATCCAACAAATGGAGTCCCGATGAAACAATGGCGATCGGTGCTGCAATGCAATCAGCCTTATTAATATCTCATAGGATGCATGATCGCGAACTCAATTCCATGAGCGTAGAAGTGCATTCGTTGGACAGATCTTTATGTGTTCAATTTGGTGAGGCTGATCCTATTGTGATTCCGGCCGGTACGATAGTTCCAATAAAGATACAGACAATTGTTGAAATTCCAAAAGTCAATGACAATAAAGTGGATGTCAAGATATTTGAGGGAGGCAGTGATGACTTGAAGGATACACGAAAAATTGGTTTGGTAAATTTAATGATGTTTGCTTATATATTTTGATATTTAAATGGTCAACGCTACTCTAAGACACTATGCACGAATAAAACGTGTTTTTTTAACAGATCACAAACTATGCATTCTTTAGCAAATCACAGGTAGTTTTCCATAAAATTAATGTAATGTACGTTAAAGTAGAATAATACAATATATTTCACTGTAAAATCATGCCCGTGCATACTTTCTAACAATTGTACACCAAGCCATGTATGACTGGCTAGAGACTTTATTACTTTCGAGCTGTCAAAAAAGAACATCCCACACCTGAAGCAACTTTAGTATGTTTCTATGGGTTTTGTTTCAGATTTCACTGAAAGCCGAGAGCGGCGAAAAGTTCAAAGTGGATACTGACCTCACCGAAGCAAATCTTAATGTGAACATTGTGGAAATGAAATCGGGTAAAAAGTCATCCTTTCGTTTTGGAATCCATGAAGATGATTCCTAGCATGACTTGAAATTAAACTATATATTTTTTAACGTGCAACGACTATGAATAAACTAATAATTTTTTAGCTATTGTATTTATTTACCCTGCCAATTATATTCAATTATCTTAAACATTAAGACTCTTAGTGTACCTCTGAATTAATGAAGACGATGTAACAAACATAAATTGTATGAACATGTACATTCTTTAAATTATCGATTGAGCAGTATATGCAGTCGTCGAACATTTTTCATAACAGATGGCACTGACTATCGGTTTTTTTCGTTACCATTGAATTTTGTAAACTAGCTCAAATAATATGAAATTTAAAACATATTTATATCTTTGGTAAGTTGTTTACTAATAAGAACTGCGCTTCTGCAGTTCTTTCGTTTAATTAAATAATCGTTCAATCAACATATACAATATATAAATCAATTTAATTTATCCAATTAAGAACTAGTTTTGTAAATAAAAGTCAAAGTTAAGAAATGACTCGTTTAATAAGAATAACAGGAAGACAAAATACAGAAATTTCAATACAAAATTATACAAAACGTGTAGACATGAATGAAAACCGTGAATCGACCCAGACAGACAACACATAATGTTTATAAGACATCGAGTGAGACAGAAATTGTCTTTCAGAGATTTGAAAGATGCCTGGGATATATGTGATGTCTGAATAAGTTTATGGCAGTGCATTTTAAAATCAGTTCGTTATTTGAGTCAACAGTGAGAAGTACTTGCTATAGAGGTGTTTAAAAATAGCTAGGAAATGTTTTTTATTATCAACTTTGTTCCTTAAAAATGAAATAAGAAATTAAAGAATTCATGTGTCTTCTTTGAGTAGAATCCATATGTTGGTAGGCAGAACGCCCCGTTTCAGGGCTTATTCTCAATGCGCTTGCCACACAGCATCGTTCCTGACGTCTCAGGAAGTCTCGCACTCTTTATTACAAAGTATTGTAGATGCACTACACGAGTCCATTGTGTTTCTGTGCCATGGTACGTTTTTATATTATCCTTATGCCAGAGAGCATTGAAATACTGAGCACATTATCGATTCATCATCTCAGTCCTAGACTCGCTATGAAGTCATGAGGTAACGAAGCTACATTTCTTTCTTGGGAAAGAGTCATTTTACATAAAAATTGATTTGACTTCATCATTGCGTTGCACTCGAGATGCTTTTGTTAGGATAAACTATTTTTGTACTTTATTGATTCTTTTTTATTTATGATATATTACATATATATATATATATATATATATATTTCTCGCGTACTTTTCATTAGCTGTATTACTCACTTTTTTTACAAGGAACAACAAAATCAAGATTAATGAAAGTCCCGTAATACAAAAGCGATATCCTTGTAGCCTAGTAAAAGCGACTGATTACATCACGTTTAATTTCTCGCGTACTTTTCATTAGCTGTTTTACATAAAAATTGATTTGACTTCATCATTGCGTTGCACTCGAGATGCTTTTGTTAGGATAAACTATTTTTGTACTTTATTGATTCTTTTTTATTTATGATATATTACATATATATATATATATATATATATATTTCTCGCGTACTTTTCATTAGCTGTATTACTCACTTTTTTTACAAGGAACAACAAAATCAAGATTAATGAAAGTCCCGTAATACAAAAGCGATATCCTTGTAGCCTAGTAAAAGCGACTGATTACATCACGTTTATTTTTCCAGGAATCCCAATGAACGTCTCCACGTGAATCATCATAGTCGGGAAGCACGCGGATTCAAAACGGTTTTAATTCCGTAGGACAATAATTATTGTCATTGAGCACACTGAGAGAATATTAGTATAGAATAAGTGTATTCCGAATTCTGTGATTCCCTGCGGAGGACATTGGTATAGTTAAATACCTCAAGGAGGACGTGGAAATCACTGGAATTTTAAGAAATTTTGTATTCCAGCCGGAAAGTCACTAAAGGAGTCAAACATGTCACGCACCCATCAATGACGTGCAACTCGCGTCAAACGATCCAAAAAGAAAAGTATAAAGTACTTCATTATAGCTTATCAGATTTGTTCATGACAGAAAATGCCATCGTATACGTAAAAGTGAGGTTATTTACGAGAAAATTGAATACAAGTTTGGTGAATATGGAACGTCCCATCGACGTGCGTCAATCGCCATAACGATTCGAAATTGAATTGCGACATTGAATAATTGGGGCGAAAAAGTTTGATGAATGAAAAAAAATTTATAATTGGGTAACCGACGTTTTCAATTTTATGTAACTTCTTTCTTTTTTTTTTTTAATAGAAATTTCACTAAACGCGAAAATAACAGACAAATACTCAATTTGGTGTGAAGCGTTGGTATAATAACGATGCCCTATGCTTGATCTTTTCTGATGCGAATCGCGCCAGATCGGATCGAATCGATTTCAAATACGAAAACAAGGTGAGTAATGCGTGCCGTGCCGTTAAGTTTATTTGAACGCTCCTTTACACTGAGTCGACGATCGGCACGCGTTCCTTAGCGCATTACAGACTTTACTAGGAATAATAATGCTAAAAATAACGTGGCAGCATTCCCGAACGGCACATCGGCTCGCCAAAAATACGCCATTCACAACTATTAATAGAGGTCGTGGCTCGCATTTGCGACCGGTCAGTCAGCCAACCAGAAGCTGCGAATACAAAGTAGGGGATTCCCTCCACGCGACCTTTCTAACCTGGCCTTTGAGGACACTGGGTCTTCCATTATTTTATCTATTATGCATTCCGCGCTTCTTCTGAATGAGTACGAAGCTTCCTTGTAACACTTCCTGCCTAGCTATGTTAAATAAAATTGACGGTTTTCTGTTCTTACAAAATTCAACAAACATTTGTTCACTATCCCTTTCTATGAATGATATTTTCCCATGCATCTGCACATATTTATTTCTTATGTATTTTCCAGGTTCAAAGTTCAAGCGCATTATTACCAGTTCCCGCCCTAGGCAAGTGACTAGTGACATTTATCATGTTGTAAGATCGAGGTGTTAACAACGACATATTCTATTTGATTTTTCTAACACATCTACAGCATTTCCAATAAACTCTCACCAGGATGCATGTTAATCCTTAACTACACACGTGCGATCTCAAAGATCTCACCAATTTTATGTTTAGCGCTCCTGCGTAATTTGTCTCTACGTAAATTTTCAACGAAATAAAAAAACCACTAGATAATTATTATTAGATACTTGGTCATTAAATTTGTTTAAACTAAGAGGAGAACGATATAAAACTCAACATTTGAGCTTTTCTATTCATTGTAATGGCCTCACTATTCTGTTCCACAGACTGAGGTCTCACAGAACTTAAAGTAGCCATATTCATAGGCACGGTATTTGACTCCTGTCGAGTTGTCTTCACGTACTTAATAACTATATTGTCGTTCCGGTCAGGATCGCCGAAGCAAACAGTCGAAATAAATCCCTAGTTAAAACAGCATCTTCGTAACACACTGTAGCTGTACAAAAATGCAGTCAAGGTAGTACAGTGTTTCTACGTGTTTGAAGCAGCGCGCGGGATGTTCATTAGCAGTATGGCTGTTTAAATCGTGCAACATTGTAGCCGCAGATGTACAGTGCAACAAGAAAAAGCAGACAGCACGTGGAAATTGCATGCAGTTGTTCCTATACCTATTATACGCCAAGAATGCATATTATGTACAGTGCGCATAAGGACAGTGTATATATATATGTATATACCAATATAAAGTGCTGGGTTAAGAGAATAAAACCGAAAGAAACCAGACGAAGGGGCATGACGGAAAGATTATGCCTATGCGTGGATTACATAGTAACTATTTATAGTGGAAAAGACATTGTAAATTACAAAGGTAAACGCTGTCGAAGAGGTTACGCCATTGTGACGAATCGCATAAGGATTATCATGTTTGTTTATTTTGTAACTGCCATCTAGACACGTTGGCCCTTGGTGATTGGATGCCTCTTTTAAAGTTGTTCGTTTTCCATTGGTATGCCTGAGTTAAATATTCATTTAGTTTATAATTTTATTGTAACATTCTTTAACTGATTTTTAATTTAGTAATTGGAATTATAATTGTGTATTTCTGCGAATAGTTATTTGAGGCGATGATGTGGTAGGACTCATAGGAAGGTGGTTAGGTTGCATGGCGCTGTTTGACCCGATTTAGAGATTATGGCGTGGGCTGGTTGTTCTACGACGTTTGCCAAGGGTTCTATCGATTCGAAGGTTCTTTATTCCATTAGTACAAACACATACCGAGGAGTATTCCATGCGTGAGTCAAGACTACCGTGATGATGAATGACGATGCGCGAGGCCGATACGTGCTTAGGACATAATACATAACCTCACTATTGCATAAGTCAATAGAAAAGAAGTCAGCCTAACGTAGCGCAGATGCAGGTACTGTTAATAGAATGACTATGTTCTTTTATACTTACTTGGAATAACATAAAATCGCATTTCCCATCAGGACTGAATAACCTTAAAGCACGATGAATAAGGTATCTTGACAAAGCGTGTTCGTATATTTATGTATATCGTGTGTCTCATTTCTGTCTAGTGAGTTAACTGGAATTTTCGCATCCCCCAGGAACGATTATCACGCCCACTGGCTATTACTTTGCAAGGTGGCTAGTGAAAGAAAGCAGCCCGCGTTCACTGCTCCAGGAATTTCCGGTTATGGGAATCGGAACGTGCCATTTCGCGGAAGAAAATATACGCAAGGAGTCATTAGCAGTAGCGGCGGAATTTGAAACCGCGTGGAAGGTACGCGACGAAGAGGATGTATAGGAAGGAAGGAAGGTGACTAGGTAAAAGTAGTATAATAAAATATTCTCAGTTCCTTTTTCCGTAGTACGATTGTCCTCGATGACGACGTCGCTGCGGGCTATCGGTGTCCGCAAAGCAATCCTGATGAATGAACTGTGCTTGTGTACCTGCTGTAGGTTCACGTGTGACGCCCACGCCCATGCTTAATACTTATGTGTTTTATACACACTTGGTCTATATGCTGCGTAAAAATGCCTACGAAATGGGAGACGCCCAGCGACTGCGACAACGTTCCTGGAACGTGTAACGCATTAGAAGATTGACCTGATGAACGGGAGCACCGGAGCTGGTGGAATGAATTGTGTAGTGGAACCCCAAGGAAAATTGTAATGGAAACGAAGACGGTTTTGTAGAATGATACAACGTTGAGGAATACGAGTAGATAGAGGGGAAGAGGAAGGGATGAAGTTGCTAGCAGGAAAATTGACTGGAAACAGCTCATTCATAAAAGCAGCTGAGGGATCGATGCGCACGTGGTTCGAATCCGGTTAAATCAGGGTGGCCAACTCCTGACATTTACCATTATATTTTTCCACCCTGACATCACTGCCGTATCTCATGACATTCAATGAATGTTTTTCTGCTTTCCAAGTGAACTTTTTCACTGGGAAATAGCTTGGGTGTGAATTTGTTTATTTATTATCAAAAAAGTATAACGAGTAGAATACATGAAAGCGCACTGAGGTATATTGTAGAGAATTTAAATAGGAGTTGGGTGATAATCTTTACCTAGGGTATTAGCAGTGACTGAATGAATTGTTGTTACGTTTACATACTGGCAAGGCTCTAACAATCCGCTGGGTCTTAAAGCCGAGAATCGATTGCCACCCTCTCTTTAAGAACTCGGTCATAGGGATATAGACCCACACAAAAAGGATCCGGAATTAGGTTAATCATAGGGTGGATATAAATGCATGGAGTTATGTATGTACAGCTTGATACACTATCTACAACCTATATGACATAAAGAGACAGATGAAAACCTAATTGTATTACTAATCTATCATAGACTTTTAATATTACATTATTATATAGTATAATTATTGAAAGCTTAATCTAAATGATATGGACTCTCTGTTACAGATAAGGTTACTGTACATAATGAAAATTCTATTGTTTTCTTGGACTTCATCGACTATGTATCTGGAAATTAGGGGAATTTCACTTGGATTTCGATTCTACTCCACTCAGCCCTTCTAGCGGGAGACTCTAATTGAGTGGAAAATGTTATCATGACGCACACACTCCTATCGGCCTAAATGTGATTCAGCCAACCACCAAGTTTCCAAGAAGGGTCCCTTCGTGGTGGTGAACCTAGCGTGGGCTGTGGCGTTATGTCGATTTCACACCAACCCCCTGGATTGCCTTCCTTTTCCAAGTATCAACTTGCACACCCCCACGGAAGCAACATTAATCTCGCTGATAATTCACGCTAACCAAATGAGTATCGTGATGTATATCGCTATAAGAAAAACACGTGTGTCTATACTACAAGAGGCAGACGTGTATTTGAAAGTGTAACGGAGTCGAACACTTCTTGGATGTCGATTAGTTAATGCTCAAACCATATGACAGTCTCCATTGGGTTCCCATAAAAGATCATGAATCTCATGGTGACCTCGCCAGATCGAAGGACGTGTTTCACGGAAGTAACTGGGTGTATAATATGTATCAATCTCATATGATACATACAGGTGCCACGTGAATATTCCTATAAAGCGTCACACCTGGGCCACCCGCATGGATTTGAATTTTCGGTAAGTTTATATTTTTGTCACGACACTATTTCTAATTCGCCATGTGAATTTCTCGTTGGTTGTAGCGGGCTTGCCGAGTGCTTTATAGGCATGCTGCACAATGTACTCCTGGAATACGAAGGACTACGTGCTTTAGCAGGATCGTTCGTTCTTTTTCGATATAGAGAATTTCTTGGAGGCGTTTAAAAGGTCGGCAGCTTTCACTGAAATCGATTTCAGCTCCGTATGAATGCGTTTGCTTCCAGCAATGTCGAATTCCTTGGGAGAATCCTAGTCATTTGGCTTTGCAGGCTCGTGCCGCCTTGATTTACAAACCTGTTTTTCATTTTGAGAGCGATAAGAAGCTAACCGTCGTTTTGCAATGTCCTGTAATAAACGTTCGTCTTGAGAGGTCTTTCTTAGTTTCTTTTCGTTCCTCTTCATTCTTGCATTCTCGCGTTCGCCATATTCTTATAGAAGAGGATGATTCGTAGAAGCGCTTTGTGAAGGAATTTAATATTTTTTTTATTTTATAGGTACTAGGTAGTCTGGCGTATTTTTTTTGAGCCGACAAAGAAGCGATAGGAGATAGCTGATTGGTAAAGAAGAAGAAGAAGAGAAAGAGAATGAAATCGAAGGGCATTAAAGTCAATTGGAAATACGACACCCGCTAGCGTGTATTTTCGTCGGTGATAGCAGAGAAACATCCAAGTGGGCGTCGATCGTCGATACGTGGCGACTCTGGGAATTTCTCAAACTCTACAGTGTGGCGACGTCACTTTTTTTCCATCTCCACTTGCCGTGAGACGTTCCAAACCAAAGGGTGTCTTGTTAAAATAATGCGATTCTTAAGAAAAAAAATCAAACAGCACCATGTTTAAAATTTTGAATGTTTTTGCAAGTAACGTAATATGGCTGCACTGCGGATTTAATTCTAAACTTAATATTCATTGACAACTTGTCTAGAATTAAATCCAACCTCAAAAACAGTCAAAGTATGTATGCACTCGGCGTACGAATTCTCCTTGGTAGAGCAGGATTTATCACAGTGAGAATTCTAATTGAGATTCCATAGGAGTGCTGGTATTAATATAAACGTGTAGACACTTACTACATTACCAGTACCACAGGTAAATGCCAATTTGTAATAATTGCCAAGAACAACTATAGATAAGATTAATACATACGTCATGCAAGTACTTGTGTTATTTTCGAAAGCAAACCGATGCATGTAGCAAATGCCGTATTGTCGGTAATTTACAGCAGCTGGCGCCACCGTCGTTCTCGACCTCGCTTACAGGTACGAACAATGAATCGCCAATTGACGGGGACTCCTTTGGTTTCCGGAAGTCAGTGTAAAAAATAGAAGAAGCTGGAACAAACGATTCACTGTACAACGTATGCTGCTCTTTACCTTGTATGCATCCAAAAATGTATCCAATTTTGTTGACAGATCACTCAGAAGGTGCTGAAGAACATACATCTTTTTTTTTCAGGAACAAGTTGGTTCATCAGGAGCGTCGTTACACTTCTACGAGACGCTAACGTCAATTCAATTTGACTAACGAGGAACGACGGCACGTAGGTGGGAACCGAGATGACACGTTTAACGAAGGATGTAGACAGCCGAAGAGAACCGGCGACACGTCGCTCGATAAAGCCCGCTGAAAACCCCCTACGATATTATAGTTTGTTGGTCTATTACGAAATTATTGTGGTCCTTGGGTTGTCTCTCATCTCGTAACTCATTTCTTTTCATCTTGTAGCATCCGATTCTATCTTATACAGGTATGTATATTACCTACTGGGTTAGTATCATACATATTACAAGCTGCGATAAGACTTCATCTACACAGATATATATACAATGATAGTGATTGAGAAGAGATGGTTGAACTTATTAATTTGTTTTATCTGTAGATGGGTAATCTGTCACTGTTGTGTGAGAATATTAATATTATTAATTACGTATGTATATTATGTATGTATTACGTATGTATATTAAGTATGTATATTCGTATCTACAGATTTATTTAGGATAAATGCATTAGTTAGTTGTACTAATTGATCCTAAACTTCGAAGTACGGTGTAACTGTGCACAATATTTTGATTTGTTATTTATGAGTGAACTGTCATTTTTTTCGAACCAGTTTTGTGGTGGCTAGGAGGTTATGCAAATTGGAATTGTAGAAGATGAGCACGATATGGAACGTTGAGCGAATATAATCAATTGGGAAACGCAGCTGACGACATACTCAGCCACGTGCGTATCGTCAGGGACTTCACATTTTTTTTCTGATCAATTCGGTTCTCTTTTTATAAATTTTTGGTCTTTGTCTCTTTTGAATCCGTTACCCGGCAATGGTCCTGTCTGCGGAACAGATCGATCCACCGATCCAAATGGACACTGTGCGTACAGGAATAAGAGCGTTTGATATTGATGGGCAACCGTTTCTGCAAATGCACCATATCGATTTGCTAAATGGCGTTTACAATTGGCAACGAAATTCACACTTCCCATGGATATGACGCGCGTGGAAAACCCAACGCGGAATTAGTGTGTTGTATAACTGGAACACATAGCCATATTACCGGCTTTAGGTACCAGCGTCAAAATAGATAACGTATCAATACGTGTGCATCCACTGTTAACGCCATTTTATTTTGCTGATGGTTTATTTAAATTTTGTCAAAAATTTATATAATTTTTTTAATTGAGCTGATGCTTTATTTTCATGAATATGGATTCACAAGGTGCGCCTTAATAATTTTATGACGTCAGAATGTGCTGTCTAATTTTGATGACTCGTAATATTTGATAGTAGCATGAATTGAAGGTGAGTGTTTATTAAGTTATCGCTAAACATGTAATAAATAGATTCTGAAGATTATACATATAATATATGCATATTTGTATTGTACAGGAAAAGAAGATAGGGAAACAGTTAAGGGGAAAAAATTAATTTCAGCTAGTAATATAACAAAAATCGATGTTACCTAACACAACATTTTTATAGTTCAAAAGGACATCAATTTTATTTCGTTATGTTTGATATCAAACACATGGAACCGATTATGATGATATCATGATACACTTTGCCAGTATAAATGGTTATGAATGAGTCATGAATCTGTATCGATGGGTGAATGACGATTGATGTTCTAAAAAAAAAAATAGTTCAATCACCGAACCAGGGGCTGAGATAATGAGTTCTTCGAAGATTTTTTTTTTAACGAATGGATCGTTGAACATTTACGAATAATGGAGGCACTCGACCGCACTCGGGCAAGTCTAGTATTCATATGGGTAAGACGTTGATCGAATGAATAATGATATATTGCGGAACCGGTAGTAAAAAGAAAGATGTTAGAGAGTCGAAACGCGAGGTGGAGGAGTGAATAAAAAGTCAAGAAAGGCGTCGCGGCGCCGCTCGTAAACCCAATTGAGAGCGAAAACTCGTTATTTTTATTGGCTGGCTACGAATCTTGTACTTACTACTGACAGAAAAATCATGGCCGACTCGCCATTCGTTACTAAGAGTTACTACACTACCTCGTAATGTATGACTATTCCGGGTGTGAATTAGGCTTAAGGTTTATGAATCAAGACTTAAGGTTATTTAAACGCACGATAAAATTCGCCCGCTCGATATTCCACCCGATACACTGACGCCATTGCGTAAAACGGTAAACAAACAAATTCCATTCTTATTTATGGATCATTCATAAATTATGTGTTTGTCAAGTATACTACCCTTGTGCAAAAATTTCTTTTTCTTAGAGATAGGTTAGTTCTCAACACGCAATTTTCATGGGCGGCCACGGTAAAAGTCTTTGTGAACACGATAAAAATTTGCAGGTTAAATTCTCGCCCACGATCGACATAAACATCAACATTCTACGATAAATTTTTATGCCTCTATTATGAAAATAGATCACGTACTTTTTTTTACTTGGAATTTCGAAACTCGGTATCGGTGTAGTTATCTGTGAATTAACATATGAGAGCGAACGATAGCTTGTCTAGGTGAGTAACAATAAAAATCAACTGAGAAATTCCACCGGACAGACCCGTAAACATTTACTTCCTCTCTGAGGATAAAAGTCAAATTATTTGTCCTGCACGGGAATATAGTACATATCGATTTTTCCTAGGGATCGTTAGCGTTTATAACGTCACGCGAACGATCCTATATAGGACGATAAAATCTTATAGAGAAATTCCGCAGATACGGAAACGTAAACACGAACTTCCGCTCTGGAAAGATTTAACGCAAACGCAGCATGAAGCAACGTAATTGCTGGATGATCTTGTGCGAAAAAAATGTTTCTCAACCATTACAACTGTTTAATAAATTTTCGCCTACTTGATGCACAGTGTCATCGTCACAAAGAGTACAGCCGTAACGGTTGCGTGTATATAATTTGTTTTTATGAAACCAGGTTAGTTCGCCATTCGAATTCTATATTATGGTACTATTCTTTATTTATCCATTACGTCACTTTCGGGAATACCGAATTGCACCAGGTGTTTCAAAACCGATCTGAAAGAATCAAATATCTCAATAATCATCATTAAATCCATAACGGATTGTTAAGTGAATTCATTTCCGTGTCTTCAGGCGTCCATTGGAATATCTGTTATGACGAACAAAATATATATGTATATCTACTCACATTCGATACACAGTAATTGCATAATTATTAATACGCCAATAAACCCACGTACAAGTCAAAGGCGAATGACTTTAATAATATCCAAGAATAACTAATAGATCTGTCCTCTTTTCATACGCAGGAGATTTTTTGCTTTTAATTTTCGCACACAGAATGCGCCACGGGGAATGCAGTAACGGTATTGTTACTCTTACATAAGATAGATCGCCATCTTGAAATAGCAAATGTCCATAACTAGTTGCATACACATTGATTTATAACATAATACTAGACACTGGTAAGGCCATGATTTTTATTCGACCATAAGCCAGTAGACAGTAAGACAGTAGATGTGTAACTGACCTACAACTAAAGAAGCCACTCGATCATTCTATCACAAGGTTTGTTACGTTACGTTGTTTGGCTATAAAATTGAATCGAGTCCCAATAACTGGCAGATCACAACAATAAACCAGGTGAAGGATCGATCCCATCTCCCGGAGAACCCTCCAATTAAAATGCCTTTAAACTGGCAGCCGGCAGGGTGCGTCGTTGTTTTATCCAGAAAGTTACCAGCATCGCCTATCTAGGTATATACGTATACGTCGTCTGCTAGCAAGACGTAGAAACCTAAACACAGTCAGCAATGAAATCATGGAAATATACGGAGTTAAGGCCTAAACGTTCGAGTAGAATTTTCGTTGGAATTAATGATTGTGTTCGCAGAAAGTGAATTCCGGACTTCGTGTTACCCTAGAGGTGTCGTGCGACGTGTGAGTCAGTCCTACTTGCGAGAACCTCCAGCTGGTTACTCATCTAATTGAGGTCGCCATCATATTTTTTATATCCTCCCGCCAACTTAACGAATGTTACACTCTATAGGTAGCTAAGGTCGTGCAATACCTGATGTACTGATATACATGGGCTATATTATATAAAGAGGTAACACAGATTAGGAGAATTCCACCAGACGCAATAGGAAAGTCTAGGGATTCATGGGGAAATTCCAGGTCGTTATGAAATTAATGGTACAAGGACTACGGAGGAGATAAGAAGTTTATTGTGATTCTTGATAGCAGGTATATTTTTTTTTCTTGTACTTGTCCCTGTGTAGTGATTGCAATTGATGATCGTAGAAATTGGTATGATTTAATCCAGCGACGGTTATACTAGGTCCAGATACACTTTTCTATGAATAAAATTTCGAATGGCCGTTCAATCGAAGCGAATTCGTTAACGGAATTGCATCAGGATCGAGTCGGTACTGTGCCAGTTTCCGGAGCAGGTGCGAGGTCGAGGAATTGGATTGAACGAATAAGCGGGGAGCGGTCGACTGTATTGAGCCTCGGGCCGGGCTTTCCCATAAGAACTACGACGCTCTCATTGATCGGTATGGACTTGGACGATCGTTCACAATTATAACTCCCACTTATTAACTCACCTTTCCCGAACCGCATTTATGTATTTCGTTAGCATTATTGTGACCGCGACGGATTATGATCGTCTAATAAAACCGGATGCGACGGTCACTCGACTGCTAGTCCGGTTTGCTCGAGCGACGTAATCAGACTGTCAGATTGCTGATTGGCATTGTAGTGAAAAATCAGCACGGATATCATACCGTTTATTTTTTTATTGAATATTCTAGATAAAATTGATTAGAATCTTTCCTTTTCTACGAATTCGATGTTACACGTTCCATTCGAAACGTACAGGATTTCGCGTTGAAATTATATTTCACGGAACATTTAATAAAATATTTTATGACTGAATCATTACCTTTTTTATCGGCGTAATTATAGGTAAATTTCAAGTAGTTGTTATTATTTTAAAAAATCACAATTAAGGCGCATACTCAAGTCTGTCGATCATTTCTAAATTAATTCTTGAAGGACGTGTCCAGGGTGAGATAACTGGTGAAATGAACTCCTTGGAACAGACTGGAAAGTCAATTTGTGCAAATGTCATCGATTCTCATTTTTGAACGACTCACCAATCAAAACACTCGTCTATTAACGATCGTTAATTACCCCCCTATAATTCCGGTGTTTCCCTCATCCACCGATTCTTTAATTATGAACATACGTATGAATATTTGCGAACGTGCCACTGACGATTCTTGTTTTCCTTTTCGCATTCGACAATAAAAACCAGCCCAACTGCGTAAAACCTGTCGTCAGCATCTGCATCAAGGATTTTTACGAATTTTTGCGATTCTCGGTTTCGCAGAAAACTTCTTCGGTTCCACGTATACAAATAATTGTCGTACTTCGTTAGTGTGTATGAGCATTTCAAATGATTTAAGCGTATTCCACTACGGCAGAACACATCCAACACAGGGGGCGCTTCTGCTGGTTTCACGAAAGCTTATTAAAATCGGATCGGCGGCTGGTACTGTTCCTTGCGAAAAGGAGCCACGATTAATATCGCTGAAAAATTGAAGTGCGAGTTTGCACATCAACCAAAGATCCCACGTTTTCGCACGTGCCACGCGACTGGTTATAGTATTTATTTAACACATTATAATATACCGCCTTGTCACGTTCTTAATATTCATTTGTGCCAATCTAACGTATTCCTAATTTATAATCTGTCGCCACTAACAAACAGGTAGCTGATAAATATATTAAGAAAAATTTTTTGTCAAATGCCTAAGGCATATATTAATGCAATCACGCTCGCGACCAACTGCTAATTGGTTCGCCTAACGTGCATATTGACACCTGTCAATTGGTTTTACATGTAATATTTGAGACGCACAATTTCACTCATCTTGTTTAGACGTCTAATCGACTTTTGTGTAATGCAGAAAAAAAGCCACGTCGACACGACTAGTGTCTGTTTATTCATAACATGTCGTGTTTTTTCCATAACATATCGTGTTTTTTAGTATACGTCTGACATTTATGCAGGAATTTTTTTAACAAAAATGATCCTTCCTAAATACAAAATGTCGAACGCAACTGTGTACTTTTATTTGACAAACACTATTCTACCACGTAATGATCTTTGAATACTAATATATCAACGTTACCCAAGACCATTACAAGTGATCAGATTTATTGCAGGTACAAACATGTATTATGTTAATGTATCAATTTTTTAAACTCTTACGGTACATATTCCTAATTAATCAGTAATTATATTTAGCGCTCGTTATTATCGGCCGATCGAAATGCGACAATCCGCTCTGGCTATTTTGTCGTCTATTCGATCCCGAGCGTCATCGAGCAGGTGTCTTTTCGATGATTAGTATACCAAGACGGCATACCTGCCGACCGTGGATACCTGACGTAAATACTATCGATTCTTACGAAATCATTAGTTTATCACCGAACTATCTGTACGAGTACGGTATAAATGATCTCGAGTGATTTCCGCTTTCTACCATGCGTAGATCACGATCAGGCCACCATCTGTTTTTTTGTTCCAAAGGATATTCGTACGCTTTGAAATATCGATGATTGAGTGGACAAAGTCGCGGGAGCCACAGTGTCACGTCATTGGACAAAAATAATGGAGGACGTAATATTTAATGAAGACACGTATATTAGTACACGTATGAAAACAATCATCCCTAATTATCGAATTAGAAACAGTCTGGGGACCCAGCGGCCATAGATCATTAATCAGAGTCCGTAAGGTACGTGAGCTACATATACGAGCAGAATAGGAAGCATCGATGATCAATCAATCCTTGCCCGTAATAATGATTGCATCGTACAATGTAGCCCACGACTCGATAAATCAGCCGATCAGCCGTTTGCAAGCTTGTGGCAAATATTATTTAATCATTTTTTTACAATGTTTTACACGATGGCATCGAGTCGTCTAATTATACGCTGTCAGGTTTCGCTACCGAGAAAGAATTTCCATCTGCTGTGAATACAGGAAGGATCGCATAAATAAACCGAAAGGCGATTTGCTACTATCCCGTTTTAAAAAGGTAAGCTTTACTTTTATATATATAGTTTTAAATAAACCAGTAGTCCACGTTATAGCCTGGGAAAAAGGTAAAGAGTGTCAGACTCGTAGACGAGGATAAAAGAGTAACAGAAAACTATTATACACGGTGACTCATTACAACGACGTCATTCAACTACAGTTCATCAGACCGTGACAAACCGACGTCATTGCGAAAGCATCTTTCACTTTGTAAACTCTCCAAATCCTCTGGCCGACACATAACCTCTCACGTATTCGCGTGATAAGCTATTAATCTCCTTTCGCAGTATCTACAGGGTGGTAGCGATTGGTCTGCTGTCTCCTTTAAAAATAAGTTACAGCTCTGAACGATGCCAATTACATGTACACAGTACATATGCCGGTACAACGTAATCAAACCGGTGCATTCCTATCACCATTTTCGTAACAGGTTTATTACCGCGCTTCTTCCTATCGTCGAATTACTCCGTGACGTTAACCAGTTTAGTCATTTGCGATTGAATAACTCGAGTAAACTACAGTCCGATGATGATGATACGTACGTATACCACATATAAAATATACATACGTGTACCACACTGTTTTATACGACTACGAATTTATCCAGTCTGTCTCCTTACTATGTGGTAAATTTCCAATGCTCTGTAATGAATGCACTCGGTAACCTATTAGACGTACCAGGAACGAACCGAGTCGAATTCAGAGCGGATAACGCTCAACGGATCAGGTACGATTGAACGAACGGACATTTGGAATTCCCGTTTGTTCTTTCGCTCTTTCAATAGAGCGTGCATGCATAAATACCTAGTAGTATTTTAGATATGTGTATAGTATATGCTTATATTTTATTCTAGGGAATTTTACGTGTTGGTAGGTACGTAGTGTATGTACGTATACATGCACTACGATAAGAACGATGAATGCCGTTTAATTACGAGTTGTAGCCGTAACTGCCTGATTGCGTCTCTTTACTTTATGTTGGCTATCTATGCTCAAGTGTCCCTAGTGCACGTATACCTGTATTCGATACGTTTTCCTCTTTTTTAGGTTGGGCGAATGTGTTGGGGACTTTGGTTGGTAATGTATTTGTGTACTTGTATACATATATACGTATGTATTCTTCGTGGTTCACGATTCACTTAATATAATTATTAGAGTCTTGCTTGATAATCGGAATTATTTATTGTAGAGTCCACGCCTGCTCCTTTTGATAGAATTCATATGTGCACCCATGCGCCTGGCTGCTATGTGACGTTAAAGGCTTTTTCTTTGATTCACGACACCTTTTTTTCTGGCTCTTCGTATCTGAAAGGAAAAAAGCACAGAATTATGGTTTCGAAATGTGAACCGGCACTGCCTTGTCGTAAAGCAATGGGAGGCGAAAGTAATGCATACGCCTATTTTTCTCTCATTTTTCTTTCTTTTTTTTACAAACGTTCTGACGTAATGACCGCGCATTGAAACACACTCGGATGTAATTAGCTTAAGAAGAAAGAAAAGTGTCTACCGAGTGTCAACGACCGTTGAAAAAAAGCAATACGCGGGCTTTTTGAACGAATTCAAATAAAGACTTTAGTTCACCCTATAACCGCACCGCCTTGTGCGCATGCGCTCAACGTAACAGACGAATAGTCCGTATCAACTGTCATTGAAGACTGCAAGCATCGAGACTAGAGTAGAGGAGTCCCATCTATGTACATAAGGAATGACACCGATAAGCTGTTAAAATTGAGGTTGCCCGAAACGACACTTGCGGCGCTGACTCCGCTAGAGAACCCGTCGTAGCACGCAATTATTTTTAAATCTACATGGCTTCTATATCTATATATAGGTTCCTTATTGACAACAGCGACGCCATCGGCGAAATAGTGAATTTCTTATTTTCGACGCATTTCTGGTGTCGTTTTTTCGTTGATTCCTCTATCAAGATGGGACTCCTTTACTCTAGTCTCCATGACTGCAAGTTTCTTCGTGCGGATAAATCGGAAGTGACGGAATTTCAAGAATGCCAATAACATATTCAATATTGTCAGCATTGTTGTGTCAATGATTACCCTTGAATTGTCGTATGTGAAAATGTTACTTTTGTGCACCTACTTTTGCCGTCTTCTCCTGTGCAATGCTCACTGGCCGGCCGACCATGGCGCTTACGAAAGCGTCGACCTCTCGTGCATAATTAGACTCGATAACTTTGTACTTCCGGTACTGTAATGCCGCCAAAAGAAATCCATTAACGTTTCCGAACATTAACGAACGTGGCAGAGATAACCACTTCTCATAATTATCTGCTTCACTGGTATATTTATACGTGTTACGCGGACCACGGGGAACTATGGCGAGCGGATCTTGCATGACGGATCTCCAGATTACGGTAAGCATTAATTACATTAGATATATATTTAGGATGTATGGCTAGAAAGGTAGCCTGTTTAGGCAGTCAACTAGTCGGTTAGTTAGGCATAGACAGGTTATTTGGTATACACAGTAGATAGTTTGGTAGGTACTTTCTGCTTACACGAGTGCCTTGGCTAATAGTTTTTTTCTCGTTCTATGAGTATTTACTGTTTGCTCAATAAATAGCTAGATTTAGTTTGTTTGACGAGAGGCTCATCCCACTGATACAAATGTCGACAGCATTATTAATAGTGGTGACAGCACTCCTCTGGTTTACTGACTAATTAACCAGGAGTTGAGGCTTGTTTATAATTATTAGATTGTTCGCGTGCCGTCACGACACTGTTTTCTATAGTGATTTCGTATCCGGCCATGATCTTAACATTTTTATATTTTCTGCGAAATGCAAATATAAAGGATTTTTCAACGATGTAAAAGTTCTTGTTATTAACGACATATATAATATGACGTCACAATGTTAGAGGAACAGAAGAAAAATCCGGCTCAAGGACATCTCGATTGTATTTATTATATTTTATGATGTAAAAACAGGTATTAGTTCTTCGTTGCTTCATGTTCTTCTTTGATTCTATTTTTCATGACGGAGTTATTCGTAACCGGGATTCAAAGTGGGGAAGTGAGTTCAAATGAGCTCAATGGAAGAAAAGGACGTGATTTCTCATAACGAATGAAGCGCGTTCAGTTTATTTAGAGATTCGTCATTGTCGCATCACAGTAATTCATCAATCGTGTTAAGATTCATTATACATGCTTGCTCTCGTCCTGGCCCATTAGCAGCTGCCTGTCCATTCTAGCCAGTGCGCGAAGATTGTTCCTCGTAGCATGATTTGTGCTTGGATCGCCACGTGTTTCTCACGAAACTTTGAGCCTCGACATTTTTCACGCGTCCACCGGCAGATTCTCACTTCCAGGAACTATGATCTAAGGCCAGTATCACTGCGGGATGTCAGCGATATTTTACAGTCCTTGATTGACGTGCCGCGAGCCCTCCTTATTATACCCAGGATTAGTTCACCACTCGGTAAACGGATTCATCATCGATTCGACCAATCAGCGCATCATATGCTATTTATGTCTTGTGATACTTACCGTCAGTGGGCAATTCTAATTAGCTAAAAAATGATCATCCCTTGGATAATATATATTAATGAGTATATTCTTTGAAATTTGTTATTTTTTTTATTTATAATTTTTAAAAATTCTTTTTCATTCGCCGGCGAAGAAATTCTCTCTGGTTTCTCGTACGTGAAAATTAAATCTGTACTGATATCCCCTATTGGGATAGCATGTATCTAAATGGAAGTGGACAAGCAACGAGTAGGTGTATTCCAGGCATATACAGTATAAAGAAAGATCGTGTCGCGCATCCCACATTTCGACATTAAACCAAGGCACCGCTCTCGATCTTGGCTGCTTTAATAAATCCGAGCAACAATGCACCCTACGGAATAAACAAGAGACTCAAACCACAGCTCGTAATTGTCGATTGCGTCTCTACTGGAATGCCTGCTTGCTTCAGGGTGTTCCTGTCCGTCCATTCGTACCTCATAGCAAGATGGCCACCACAGCAGCTTCCTTAGGCTCCTGCAATCCGAGCCCTGCGATACATAACATGAGATACCCCACGTGAAACAACAAAAGGGAAAGTAAAATGAAATAAATAAAAAAATAAATCATACTACACAACCCTCTTTCTTCCTCCGTATATATACATATATATAATTTTGTAAGGTATTGACAATTCTAAAACTTGCTTCTACAAATTGAATTTGAAATTAATACTAAAACAATTGTCAGCTTTCTATATAACTTTACCATTTTTTTTTTTCAACAGGTACCAACTTTATTTTATGTCGTCAGCTTCTCTCATCTTACTGGCAAAGCTTCTCCGATACGCCAGGTATATACCGAACCTATGTACTCGCATTCAACGTGTGCGGTCCAGGCGACTACCTCGATTCCAGCATCCTTACTACAGAATTGCTGTATTCGTGGAGCAAGTTGAGTCCTCCTCGCACCATCAAGGGTCCACCCATCCACCCACTCCACTCTCTGCTTGGCTTCGCTTCAATATGTTACGGCTTGATCCTCTCTCTCTCTCTTCCTCTCTTTCTTTCTTTCTTAAGTTCACGTATGGCCTAGGTATATAGGTATAGTACACAAGTGAGGAACGCACTCCCATCCTCGTACTCACTCAGGACGGCGGCGCGCCGTCCGATAAATAATTTCTTAATGCAACCGAGCGGGAATTCCTTACCAAGAATAACAACAGCCGCCTAGATCGTGTTTTACCGAGGCGCGGTGTTCTCGGACCGCCACGACGACTTTGTAACCAACTCTTCATCCATCCCGTTTGAAAATGGACGCATAAGGCTGACACTAGCACTTTTATATTATACGTGTTCCTACGCACGATGAATCCAGAAAAGATGAAGTGTAAGTATCTATGCCGAAAAAAAATTGTTTCACCTTTTGATTTTCTAGTGGATATAAGTATAGCACTGTACTCTGACGTATTTACCGAAGCCGTGGATAAGTACGTAGGATCATCATCATGAATTCATGAGGGTTTGGATAGAATCCTTGTGAGACATCAGCTTTCTTTATACAAGCGACGAAGGACACCATGGGAAGCTGTAAAAGCGTTCCGTAAAGGAGCGTGTGGTTTCTCAAGTAATTGAAAACGCCTTACCGCCTCCGTCGGCGATCGGAATTGATCGATCAATCTTGACTCGTTTCAAGGGAGAAGCAGTGATTTTGTCTGCGGTTCATCATCGACGGCTATCGACGGGATGCTGTTGACGTAGGACTCAATTGACTTCCCGGGTCTTGCCAAGAAAATATTAAAAGCCTTTATTTATCACGATGACGAATAACCTAAAAAAAGAGTATCGTCTAAGATACACTTACTTGGTATGGTATTGTTGCTCATTAAGTCATGGCGCTTTGGTAGTCAGAGGTTATGTCGATCCCGGTGGTTCGGCTCGTTAGCGGCTGGAGTCGACCTATCGCATTGGCCAGTCGAGTTCGCAGTGGGTAATTATTGGTTTTGCCGGATCGAGATATAACTCCTTCGAGGGTGAAGGAGCGAGAGAGAGAGGAGCGAGTGGATTTAAAAGAGGGAGGAAGGAAGACGGCCATGGCGCAGTCTGGCCTGATCTGGGACGTGCGGAATGTAATAAAAGGCTGGCTGCTATGAAGTTACTCAACCTGAAATGGGGTTACATCGATCTCCCAATGCATAGAGGCGTGTACACCTATAGGACTCATATACGGAGTTGTGTTCGATTCGTCAGCGTCGGGACGCCTGTCTCCTTCCGACCCTCCTGCCACTATGTTTCTCTTCTTCTCAATCCGTGCGCCTATTTTTATCTTCTTCTCGCGTGAAAATGTCACGAAATCTTACTTCCGTCAGTCCCCTTTCTCTTGGCCTTCCTTATTTTCTTTTATCTTGTTTCTTCATCGCGTTCGCGACGACAGGTGCAACGATGACTTTGTGAACGGTTTGACATTTTTTTTTTTCGTGATTGAGTAATTTAGTCCTTAGGGCATATATCGGTGTAACGTATCAACATTTTTTATTTATACTAATAACGTACATTCTACACTACCCCTTTAACAGGGTCGTCACCTTGTGAAATAAATGCCAATTAGAATTACCCAGACTTCCTATCTACCAACTGTGCACATACATAACGAAATTGTCGGTCAATGAGGTACCAACCTACCTGTATCTGACGTACGTGCAGCCTTCTCATAATTATCACGTTTCTTTACAAAGACGGAAATAAATGTACGGTGACACAAACTAGGATCGCGTGAAGCGTCGCGACGTCGTAATCAAGGCTGCGAGTAGACGTTATATTTTTCTAAGAAACAATAGGTATATCTTATAGTTACAAAGTCACAAAATATCTTAGAACTCAATTCATAAATTTACATAACACGAACATAACATGAACCCGATATAACCTCAAAGTCTGAGAATTCGAAACACTTGGTTCATATTACTAAGTATTACTAATATTATAAAATATACTAAATATATATAAAAATCTTATATGAGTTAACAAAATAATAATAATGATGTATGCTTATAGGAGCAAGTAAAAAGTGGCGGAAAAAAAAAGAAACGGTATACAAAAACGGAAGGAAATGGCCAAGGAGCGAAGCCGTATTGTGACCCCAGTGGAAAAATGCATGGCAAAGAGTATACGAGGAATAGGATGAATAAACAGGGTGAAGAAGTGGTAGACGAAGTGGAAGTTAAAAAATAAGAAAGTAGCTACTACGGGATGGTACGGTAGCGAGAATCAAAGTGTATACAGGTTATATAGTTATATATGGTAGTCTGGTACGAGAGAGGGTGTACATAGAGGTATAGTCGTCGTTACGAAGGAGACAAGAGGGAAAGAGGTAGACGGGTAGACCGCTAAAAATAAAGAAGCCCCTTCGCGTTTGCTCATCAGTCTATCGAACGTGTAGCGGCATGCTGAAATACCGTGTCATCACCGTGAGAAACCGTTTCGGGACGGTCCGTAGGCGTTACACGAGACGATCTCAACATTGCGGAACGTAAGCGTTGCACCTTCAACGAGCCACCTTGTGAGACGCTAGAGAAATTACGAGCTCGGAGAAAAGTCAATTAAACGAAAAATCATTAATGGCGTGATGTGCCAAAACGTTTCATTAATTCATTTGTATCTCATTTTCATTACACATGGCTATTCAGTGCCATTAGCGATCCTTCAAGTACTCATTAAAGATCCATACACACAGAGATAGTCGACCGGTCGTGAGATTTTTAATTTCCTATACCATCCATAAGTGCGAGAGAGACGGACTTATGGGGATTTACGTGCGTAAAAGAGAGAGGGAGATACAAATGTCTCGGAATTCATCGATCGGCTCGCGTTTTAAGTCGAGAATATCTTTTTTGGGGAAATTTTTTTTTTAACTTTCCGATTACCTAATTTCGAATACCATCGTGCCTGGATCGTATTTTCAAGCAAAATAGATTCTACGAAGAATCGTTTTCGCTCTAAGATAAACGATTCCAGATTTCTCTCGGAATTCACACGTCGGTAGTGCAACTATGCAGAGTATCTCTAGGAGTCCCGTGCCAAGTACGCCTTCGAGTGTTACGCATCGATATACATTATGTACATATTTCGTATATAATTTTCGGATGACCAAAGACTACTGTAAGATCTGTCCGATAAATAGAAAACAAAGTTAATAAGAGCATCTTAATTTTTTTTCTATTTTGTCTTCTCATTATCATCGTCGTTATCTATTTGTAGTTTTTTTTCGAATTATTAAAGTACCGAAAATTCACGAGAATGCAAATTTTTAGAAAAATGACTGATCCGCCAATTTAATATTTCGGAAAATAAAGATCCGTCGTCGTTGTCGTCTCTTCGTAAAACTTTGTCCCGTACTGATTGTGGGCTTTAACGAACGAAAATGACCGGCGCTTAGTCAGAAGCGCATTACGGACTATTGCGAAACGCTTATTACCCGCGTAACCCCGTGACAGGGCGCAACGGGTAGGTCACGCTGTGAATCATGCTTACCTTACCACGTACGCGTTCTACGGTTCTAGGAACGGGATCGTGTAAATACACGTAGTTGGTTGGTATGCCTGTCCACCACCCACCCGTCCAACCGACACGCCAACCCTCCTTCGATTTAAATTCTCCCTCCCTTCTCCTTACCTCTGTCCTACCCACTCGCACACTCGAAACGGACACCGCCGCCTGATTCCCGGCTCTGACTTTGCTGCGTAATTTCGCTACGATCCACAAATTCCTCTGAACTCTGCGTAGGAGACACTACTGTGAGTGCTGGTGAACTTTAGTGGCGGGCATTATACACGTATACACTCCCCGATATACCCATGAAGTCCAATCATGTAATTGGCGCTGCTGCAATTTATATGAAAAGTTGAATGTTCCCCTGGTGCATTTTCTAGAAAAGATCCGTCGACCCTGTTGTCTTCCGGGAAATGGATAGTCCCGAGGAACTTTTATTCAGAATCGTGACGTACTTTGGTCCAATTAATAAATAGGTATGATACTTGGCTGCATAGCTCTCAGAGCAACGTTGGAATGCACTCAATCAACAGAGTGATATGTGGATGTTTATGTAGTGTAATATGTTATATGGCCTTAAGTGGATTAAGCTGCTGGAAAAGGAACTGAATTACAGGGAATTGTTGCTGTAATAACGATTAAGTGTTTGATAGGAATAATATATACGTGATATGCAGTTGTGTTCTAGTGGATTTGCGAATACATTGTTGATGCTAGATTTATAGAGCTTTTACATATATAGTAACAGTGGGAAAAGTTAATCTGTCATTGCTTAAAAGATTGTGTCTGGTTTTGATTTTTCATAATGAAAATAAAAGAGATTTGTTCTCACGAGGAACCGTTGGATTTCGTGATATTAACTGTAGTACGACAAGGTCCATTGTATTTTTATGGATTGATCTTTAAATCGAGGAATTGCAATTGTTCGTATCTAGAATTCTACAATCCTATATACATATAGTTTGGCGAATGAATTGATTTTGCTGATCAAACATTACGCTATCTGGCGTGAAAAGCGTGCAAGTCATATAGACGTACCAACAGTGACAAAGGGGTTAAAGTCTTCACGATATTGCATCATTGTAAACTTTCGAATATCAATAGCCACGTATGTCACTGGTATATATACAGAATAGCGTGCAAGTGATTATAGGAATAATACGAGCAATGTATTATTAGAGCTGTATGATATATACGTATATATTCTTACGTAGCTATCAATAACGTAGTCAGGTAAGCTGCACCTGCTACTCGGTTGCATCTGAAAGATGCACTGCATGTGCGTTCTGAGAGAAATGCCGGTAAGTAGTTAATGGTGGGATAAGAGCTATTCCAATACTATAGAGAGGTGTAGTACATACCTACCAGATAATTCTGCAAGGTATAGGAGTGTCGCGAGTATTCCTATGACGTTGGAAATATAGTAAGCCACGAAGGAAGGTGCAATGTATGCGACCGTATATAGAAAATAAAGCGTGCAGACGTATAAGACTCACAGCTAACGTCTGTCTGCGCAACGTGCGGACGGCCAGTGGCAAGGTAAGCCGGCAGGTATCGTGGCACGTTTGAGGTTAGATACGCTTGCTCGCTTATTGAAAACGGGGCTTGTTGGAATCTTTCAGAACTCCGGTTGGCCCAGTCGGATTGAAAATTTGTTGATGGAAGTAAGTATTCCCAGGATCGTATATCATGGGGATCCTGGCGTAACTGTCGTTCGCTTAGTGGAAAAGATGGACGAGTTTGGATGGGACTTTCCGTCTTGACGATAGTGAAATATCTGTAACGATTGCAAATTGTAGATTGCATAACTAATAGTGGGGACTGTGCCTTGCCGTTTGCAAGTGGAAAAATTCTGTGATCGTCAGACGGTGTCACTCGAAAGATAGAAAGTAGGAAATGCTGTGTGAACTCCAAAGACGCTGTGCCTAACCTAACCGTAGATGAAAGCCTGGTGGATTCTGAAAAGGTAACCTCGCAAGCACTGTATGTAGAAAGTTGGATGAATTTCACTGTGGACATCCTATAGAATGGGAATATTATGATCCACTAACCCTGTCCTATGACTTGTGCGACTGTTGTCGCGTTCTTTGGAGGAAATGGGATATTTCGATGAAATGAGTGGTTAGGTTCGTTAGGAGACGTCGAGATTGTCATCGATACACATAGGATTTCCACGGTAGGCACTTAAGTCACTCGACAAAACCTAATCCACTTAAGCCACCTAAGCCACCTAAGCCCCTTTGGTAGTTTTGAAAATATATCTGGAAAAAAAATATATAGTTCCCCCATCTCCACAATCTATTCCCACGTTCCAGACACACAACGTTTCACGTCGGTATGCATTAGTTCCACGTTCTCAAAAATGTCTGTAACGTCATTCCGTAAATCTATGGGAACCATGAAAATTTCTACAGCCCTTAAGTTTACGTATAATAAAAAAAAATCTCGATATAAAAAAATTAAATACTATAATATTGGCAAAAGTAAAAAACACCCCCAATTACCAAATATCGTATGATCTTACAGTTAAATTTCTTTATATTAATTACAATGACAAAACCTAACCTCAATTATAATTAACATCGTTTCAGGCACTTTCCCGGTACTCGCCAAGAGAATCGTCATTAAAATCATTATCAAGGGGAACAGAATCGCCGGTTCTACGTAACATCGATATTGTTCATGAAAAGGGCGCTCTTGGTACCGGTGCTGGTAGTTGTGGTCTAAAAGGTGTCAGCAGCAACACCAATATCAGCAATAGCAACAGCAGCAGCGAAACACGAGGAGGTGGCACATTGGCGCAGGACGATGCGCGGTGCGACTTCACGAGATCAGAGAGGGACGTGAGAGTCCCAGTAGAGGTCGAGGCGGGAGTAGCCCACGGAATATATACATGCGTGGCAATACATGCCCGCAAACAGTCGACACGCGGCAGTCGTGCAGAGCGAAGCGATACGTGATACCGCGCAAAGAGGCTGCAGCTAACGTGGACATAGAATGAGAGGAGGGTGCGCGCGTAGAATTTCAGAATAAAATAAAAAACTGTAATTGAATGGAGTGCGCGATTAATACACAATAGGAAAATCGTTGAGAAACACGTGTAAAATACTCATAGACTGTACCGGTAACGATTTTGAGCTTGAGGATATCGAAAAAAAAAAAAGAATATTGCAGGCTGGTCTGTGCTACTCCATTCACGATTTACGATGAACGAGAGAGAACCCCAAAGGATCGGCAAGACATTCGTGCCAGTGACCACTACGAACCTCCTTGTCCTTATTGACGACTCGGCCGATCGTTAAGGATCAACGATCGTCTTGGAGGAATGATATCGTCCCCAGTAGCTGAACTTGGGCAACTCTTGTCGTCACGACTTTGGGATAAGAAGATGAGCATGTACGGGATGCGGCGGACGGTGTTCGACACTTGTTGAACTGCAGGCGATACCGGAGGGTGCTAACTCTGCGAGGAGATCGCAAGAGCAGCGAGATAGAGGATAAAGAAGAAAAATAGGAAAATAACACGTTAAAGGCAAAGACACCCGTCGAGTGTTACAGATCAAATCATCGAACGACGAGCAGTGCAGTGTGTGAAGTGTACGTCGAGAGTGTCTTTAAAAATAGTTTGAAGAATAATAGCACCGTATTAAAAGGAAATATATATATAAAGATAAACGAAAAAAAAAAGAAAAACAAAAAACTGCAGAAACAAAAGATTAAAGCTTGATAAGTGCACCCCGATCCGTACCTGGCCGAGGCCACGAACGCATGTAGCTGGCTATGGGCAAGCATTTAATAATTCCCCTGGAATCTCAAGAAATCGGTAGAAAATCCAGCGCGATCTCGATCGGCAGTGGCGTTGCCGGCCGTCTGCGCCGGACGTTAACGATCATCGAAAGTACCACGACCTTTAGTAGTATAGACACCGGTAGCACCAGGTCCATCGTCACTGCTACCAGCAGTACCACCTGTACCACTAGATCTGGCATAACCGCCCCTTGGCGGATACGACGTCCAGGTCGCACAGACTTGCCAAAGTCCTCCTCTGGTATTAACAGAACTATCTCTAGTGTCCTCATCAGTGTCATCGTGATGGCACTGCTTGGTCACGCGTTTGGCGTGCCGACCCCTGGCCCAGGATACCTAGAGAGTCTCGTCAGAAATGCAGCTGGCGACCTCCAAGTGGACGCGGAGGATGTCTTTGCCAAGGAGGAGGAGAGTCTCGCGTTTCCTGGAGCAGCCACCGATAGGCTGGATGATGTGGAACTGGACAGAATCAGGAGGAGCATCGTCGAAGGTTTGGGACTTGACAGGATACCGGATCCCTCCAAGGTAAACTTTTAATTATAATCGTGCAGCTTGACCACTTTATTTACGAGTTCAAGATTCATATTTTTCTCTCACTGCGTACCCGTACGTGTAACTGGATCGATGAATTCAGTCGGACCTTTATTATCCTATGCAATGATCGTGCGAGATAAACATTTAATGAAGAATATATTATTTTCGTCATATGACGATACGATAGGCGCCTTCTCGTTAGCAATTAGTTTCACGGGATTAAGTGGTATCCTGGGTACCTGCTGATGATTCTAAATTGTATAGACGGGTTAACTGGGTGGTGCGACGAACTATCGCGTGTATAGGCGATTGGAGGGAGCGACGAGAAGGCAAGGTTCATTGGCATTGCTTAGAAAGGGTTGACGTTTTCATGTATACTACGTGTTATATATATGGGCGAGCGCGCAACGGTAACAACCTCGAATCACAAGAATTCCGTATGCGCAAATATGCACGTGAAAACGCGACAGTGCCGTAGCGTTGAAAGCGATGTAATTGAATTTACGAAATACTTAATGGAATAATCAAAACGGTGAATTAACTTCATACGATGTATTCACAGCGATCCTTGTATCTCGACGCGAATAAAAATAATCTCCGTCTCTTCATTTCTATACACGATGCTTTCTCAATTTTTTTTTTCTTTAAATCGCTTTCATGCGGAAATCGTCGGCGATCAATGTAACCTTCGAAGTAGCGCCTTTCCCTTTTATGACCGGTATCACAAAATGACCGCGAAATCGGGTGGGTTTGGACGGTATGTCGTTTCGAATGCCTAATTACCGAGCGGCAGCCCTTTGCCATCGAGAGAGAGAGAGAGAGAGAGAGAGAGAGAGAGAGAGAGAGAGAGAGAGAGAAGGAGAAAGGGCGAACGAAGAGGAATGATTTAAAGTGAGAAAAAAGATGAGAGCCGCGAGGAAGCAAGGTAGGCAGATGGGTAGGTATGTAGGTAGGTAGACAAGCAGATAGGTAGGTACAAGAATCGCAAGGAGGAACTCAGTGCAGAAGTAAAAGGAGGAGAGCGTGTCGAGCGAAACGCAGTGAGAAAAAAAGAAGAAATAAAAATAGAGAACATCCACTCCGGCCAATGTCTTCGCTTTACATTTTACATTGCTTCGACCTGTCCCCGACTCTCGACGCCTTGCTCCGTTTCATTTTGCCGCCCGATTGCGCCAGCCATCTTCAACGATTCCTGCCTGATCATCGCTCACGGCTAAACGAACGCGGTCAATCGAGTCTTACGTGCTTCCTTCCGAAGAACGGCTTCCTGAGGTAGGACCTCCTAGGAATCCTGGCAACCGCATACTTCCGCCGGAAGTGCAGGCATCGGCTGCAGTACGCGGAAGACGTTCAATATCGTTGCTTAGGTTTTTTTTTTAAACCCCGCAGCATCACCTCCGGCGAAGCATTGTATTTGACCCTTGATACATTGCCAACTATAGTATTTGGCTGACCTAACCTCACATTCTCTACTACCACGGCAATATCAACAGGTGGTTTCCGTAACCCAGGAAGACCTACCAGACACCTTGTCGTTAAAATCTAAAGCAATGTCCAGCAGGATTTACGAAGTAGCAAGTGACTATGTTCTTCCGACTTGTAACGAGTTCATTAAGATTATCGTCATAATAAAAGGAAGGTCGCGAAAAGGGTCCCAGTAATGTAGATCGTTATTTCTTTGAGACCTATGGGGACCGGGTTCCCATGGTCGATGAC